TAGGACTGTCTGGCAATTTAAAAGGTGTATCACTTAATCCTACCATTTTTAGAACTGTCCTTCACCTGTACCTGATATATATGAAATGATGCACATTCATTGAATATTCATTGCAGCATTATTTTAGCAAAAGATTGGCCCCAACCCAAATGTCTATCAATAAGGGATCCTTAAATAAGGTCATGCCATAGCCATAGTGCAGAATACATTACAGCTGTTCAAAGCATGGAGAGGGAAAATGCAGCAGGGATGTGTACTAATACAGGAAGGTCTTACTTATATTACTCAGTGCAGGGTTGTGCACAGTGTGTTCCCATGTGTCCACTGGTATGTGTATATGAGTGATTGCACATCCTGTGGCTATCTCTGAAAAAACACAAAAGCCAAAAATGGTGGTGCATGCCTGTGATCCTAGGTATTTGGGAGGCTGAGGCAGGAGGATGGCAATTCAAGGTCAGCCTGAGTAATTTAGATCCTGCTCAGATAAAGCCTGAGGAGTAGTTCAGCAGTCCTTGGTTCAGTCCCCAGTACTACAGAAAAGAAAAATCAAACCAGACAGAGCCCCCATTGCCTTCCGGATGCCTGCCTCGTCCTGAGAGCAGCAGGTCTCCTTGGCTTGCAGTGACTTCTCATCTCTTCCTTTTAGGCTTTGTGTTGATAGACTGCCTTTGTAGGGAGACGTCAGGATATCCAGACTCATCAATCCAGAGGATCTGTATTCATCTTTATGTCTTCAGCCTTGTGCACGATCACTTAATAAAAGTCTGTTGAAGCTGAACATGGCTGTGCACATCTGTAATCCTAGCATCCTGGGAAGCTGAGGCAGGAAGATCACAAGTTTTGGTCCCTTAGGCAATTTAGGAAGACCTTGTTTCAAAATAAAAATAAATAAATGAATAAAAAGTGGCTATACCTGGGTTTCCTACTACTGCCAAAAAAGAGAGGAAAAAGTTGATGGAATTAAATTTAATCTCAGCATTTTGTCAGTTTTTGGTCAAATCCCCAAAGTCTCAGGTCAAGTTTGTGTTTTCTGTTATAGAGGCCTTGAGTCCGAGGTCAGTAAAGACTCCTTGAAGCTTTTTCCATTGCCAGTCCTATCCTCGGGCCCTGCCTCCAAGACATAGCCTGCTCACTCCTGTGGCCTTTTTCATTTTATCCAGAGTTCTGGTGGGTTTGGGAAGCCCCACAGTGTCAGGGCCATGGGAGCCCTTTGACTCATCTGTCCAGCGGTTTAGCATTCTGGGTACCCAAGGATCAGGAGAACTAGGTTTCTCAAGAGTGGCCATGAGTTAATTGTTTCAGGATGGGGCATATAGGGGCTAATTGTACTGTTTTTTCTACTTTTTATGTATTTCTCAGCTTTCCAACATAAAAAATCTTTTAAAAATTGAGCTGGGTTTTATTCCCAGCCTACGTTCTGGTTCACCCCTACCCCTTTTTGTGGGTTAGTGGTGCTGGGGATCAAACTCAGGCCTCAGGCATGCTAGGCAAGTGGTCTGCCACTGAGCTGCATCCCCAGTTCTCCAGGATGTTTTTGCCGTTAGCAGTGTATTTCTGTTAGGCGAGCCTGGTAGCATGAGATGCCTGTTGCCACAACTGAAGCATCATGGAAAGAGGGCTTTTCTAGATGCTGGGCAATCGGGATTCCTGGCTCCGCTCTGCTGCCCCTTAGCTCTGTGTCTCTCAGCCAGTCGCAGACGTGATGAGTTATTTGTTCATTGCGAATCATCCCACTTGTCCTCTGTCTTGGGGTAATGAGTGAACACACCAGTCACAGGCTTTGAAAAATTAAGAATCATTCTGTAAATGTCCGGTGTTCATTTCCACTCATCCTAGCATTTCCTCTTTATGGGAGGTGCAAGTGCAAGGTGACTTAGCAGGTGAGGCTCAACTCATTAGTATCTTCCCTTATTTTATAGCTGTTGTTCAGACCACCTGCTTCTGCCAGAAGAGCCTCCAGGCCTTGGGCTTGGCAGCAGGTACCTTGCAGCAGATCTGTTTCCAAACCCAACTCCTCTCATGCCTAGGCAGGCCTATCACGAGTCCCAGCCTCCTCCTCAGCTTGCCAGTATCCCCAAGGCAGGGAGGTGATTAACTGGTGGATCAGTCCTGGACTGTAACTTCATGAAGGTTCCTGGTTGGAGAAAGCACTCTAAACTCTATGTGTATCAGGGCTCTGCAGATGTTAATGACATTACAGTGTATGGGATTTTATTTTCAGAGCCCCTAGAGATTGTGATCATCTGGGTTTCCCTCTACTCATTGAATCTGAGCTGCAGTTTTGGTGATCAGTAAGAGTGAGTTAAAATTAAGCAAACTGGGCTGGGGATTTAGCTCAGTGGTTCCACCACCTGCCTTGCAAGCCCAAGGTCATGAGTTTGATCCCTGGTACCAAAAATAAATAAATAACTAAAATTAAGCAAACTCTTAACTACACAAATGTTTGTTTCTTTCCCTTGCCCTCTTGGTTTTACTTTTATTGGTAATTCTTAGCCCTGGGCAAGACTGCAAAGCTCCCAGGTCCTAGTCTCAGATCTGCCATATTTTCTGTTTATAGGAGGAAAAGCAAAATCCCCCCAAAGGACAAAGGAAATCAAACACAAAGTCTCCCGGCCTCTCTGGAGGCCCCACAAGGTTCTGTTTTGTCTTTTCAGCTGTGATCTTAGCTCAGAGAAGGTCATGTTTTGTTTTGTCTTTTGTCTTTCTGCCCGTTCCAGTTGGTCCCAGTCTTTTTAGGTCGGGATGCCTGGGAGGCTACAATGTGGGGATTGTTTGGGATGACAGTTCTGGGCGAGTCCAGCTGAGGTCGTGTGTCCAGTGTTCTGAGGAACCCAGAACCAAGAAAATCCGACACCAGACCCATCAGTGTTTAACTGCTAGGCTTTACTCAGGACCTTATGGTTGCCAGGAAGGTGAGCTGAGTTACATCTCCAGCCCTCTGACCTTGTATTTCAAAGGGAAAGTCAGGACACACGCTAAGCATCTATGCTTATGGAGATTATGGTTCAGCCTGGGAAAATGTGGAATATAATTTCACCTTAGTGCTCAGACTTCTGAGAGATTTTATGAACTGTTCTTGTCATTCTTAACAGTTTACACAGGTCAGGCAAGCACTCTACCACTGAGCCACGTTCCTATCCTCTTCCTGATGGATTCAGAGCACCGTGGCTAAACAGGTTTAGAACCCGATCCCAGCCCCACTGCTCACCAGCTCTGGAGCTGTCTGTGCTAGTTCCTTAGCCTCTCTGCTCCTCAGTGTCCTCCCGTGTAAGCGTGGACATGGTGCGCACACCGGTGGTCTCTTCATCGTCGTGAGGTTGCACGTGCCTGGTGTACAGTAAGGACTCAGTGAGTGAAGGCTGTTTATAAGGCACGATGGGAGATGTGAGGGAAGAGTATTGGTGACTGGTCACCACACAGAGGCTCCCTGCTGCTGGGAGTTGTTATTTGGGGACAGCACAGGAGGCACAGGAGGCAGCTGAGTTTCCTGAGGCCATGTGGCTCCTGTGGAAGGAAAAGGATTTAAAAACACACTGTGCCTCTGTCTCTTCCTAATCACACTCTATCTGCTTCCTCCTTTTCTCATCCCTGACCTAGTTTTTTCTCAAATACATCCAGGAGGCATCTGGGGAAATTCCCATGGCTGGAGATACTAGAGGTGTCTATTTAATTGGTTCTGAGTTTGCATTTAGTTTTTTTTTCCCCCAAAGACATGTGCCCTACTCCCCGAGCTGCAACAAAATACCCAGCAGTTTTCTGGTTTGCCTCTTGTAACTTGAAGGGGAGGAAGGGGATGAGAATCTGTTCTGAGGCAGGGTGATTTGATGACAACTCCGAGCTAAATAGGTAACTGTTAAGGAAATTTTTCCTTTTCACTTTTCCTATCAGACACCCACTTAGTATAAGGGGAATCAGAACACTGGAACCCAGGAGTCTTCTTCCAATTAGCTACGTGAACTTGGATGAATCTGTTACACATTTTTAAGCCTTTCCTAAATACTGTAACCCCTACTCCCATTTATCCACAAATTAACTGGCAATTGTGACCATGTTATTATTATTATTATCGTTATTATTATTTTGCCATACTGGGAATTGAACCCAGGAAGTGCTGAGCTATACCCTTAACCCTTTTTATTATTTTGAGAGTGGGCCTTGCTAAGTTGCCCAGGCTGGACTTCAGCTTGAAGTCTCCTTGCCTCAGCCTACTGAGTAGTAGTAGTAGGGATTATAGGTATGCGCTGTTACACCTGGCTCACAGGTTAATTTTCTAAGTAGAGTTCCTTGAAAAACTCAAAGACCAGGGACTTCTTTTATTTACTTTTGTACATGTGGGCTTAGAACAGTATCTGGCACATCAGTGGCTGTGGAATGGTGTTCTGGCTTGTGTTCAGCTGTCCCCCCAAAGCCTCCTGTGAGTGAGGTGGGGCTGTAGGTGGCTGAATCTAGAGTGTGATTGATTCAAGGTGGGGCTGGGCCCGAGGGCACTAGGAGTAAGGGTGTGAGTGCTCCCCCCACCAAATAGTCCGAATAAATAAAAGGGGCAGGAAGAGGCTGTTAAGGTCTTTGGTTGCCTTTTGGTGTTATCCGCCACCGTGAACTGTTGCCCCTCTGCCACCCTGCCCTGGATCCAGCCAATTGTGGGTTGAAGCCTCTGTGAACTGTAAGCCAAGTAAACCTTTCCTCCTTTAACTTTGGGTGTTAGGTATTTTGTCTCAGCAAAGAGAGAAAAGCAACGAACTCAAATGGCTAACTGAATGAAAAATGAGAGCGCAACTTTTCATTGCCGTAAAAAGCAGACCATGTTCTCCCTAAGGTTTTGTGACTTTCTGAGGTTGTCACCTAAATTACGCTGGATGGGACGCGGAGCTGAGCTGGGAGTGTGAGAGAACGATGACCACTCCCTTCCCTAGCCCTGTTTTCTCTGTCTTCCCTGGCTCCTCCTTTTCCCACACAACCCCTCCTCACACCCTTACCCTTTCCTCTGTCTCTCTGCTGGTTCGTAGAGCTCCCGGGAATATCCAGAAGTTGATTTTGTCATGGCGGAACTCAAGGTGGATACCCCCGCCGGTGTGGACTGGCAGAAACGCTGCCTGACCCTGGAGACGCAGCTTTTCCGATTCCGCCTCCAGGCCAGCAAGATCAGGGAGCTACTGGCTGACAAGGTGAGTCCTCGGGGTGGGGAGCTGCCACTCCTCCCTGTGGTCCTCAGAGGTTAAACTTTCAGTCACACGCTTTTCTCCACACTTCGGTGAGGTGAAACCCGAAGTAGTTTTTTGGTTTCAAGACCCAGCTCAGCATTTTACTACTTGGTCATCTGGCATTCCTTCCTGCCCTGCCTCCTTGCGCGGTACACCCGAGAGGCAGGCATTGGAATCTTGGTCCTCTGTCTTCTCTGGAGTCGCCCGAGGCTCCGGTGAAGTCTCTATTACTCCTTTAACCTTTCTTTTCAGTGTTTAGGCGAGAAGAATTCAAGACTCCACCCTGCTGCTCACTCCTTTTTAAACCTCTGAGCTCCCGAAGACTCCCAGGTTTCTTGGGGATGGGGAAGCAGGGTTTGGAGCCAGCTCTGCTTGACTCTGCCACTTGTTAGCTATGTAACCCTGGACCCTGCGCCTCAAAGGCAGGGACACAGATGTCTTTCTCTCAGAGTTATTTCAAGAATTATTTCAAATCGCATATGCTCCTGGCACAGAATCCATCTAAAATGGGAACAGTTATCTTTACAGGCCTGGGTGGTTGCTCTCGACTGCCTTTCATAGCATTTCTGTGCGAAGATGCACTCTAAACAGCTGGCATGTAGAGGCATTTTGGAGCAGAACTCATCTTGAGAATGACCTGTACTTAAAACAAAAACATAAATGTGTATAGATTAAGTCATCCATTCTCTGTAGTTTTGCCTCATCTGCATGGCAAACCCTTCTTTCATGGCACAAAGGTAAAATCCTGTTTCCAAATATTATCAGAGTTCTGACTGATTAAGGCAGAATAAATGACCTGCTTTGTTGACAGTCCTGTCTGCACCTTGGAAGGCAAGCCAGTGATGTTACCTCTGCACTTCCATGGACTCTTTTTTAAAGTTTTCTTGAGATAGGGTCTTGCTTGGCAGTTCAGGCTGGCCTTGAACTCACTGTGCTCCTCCTGCCTCGGCCTCCTGAATGCTGAGATTATAGGCATGAGCCACCATGCTCAGCCAGGCCTGCACCAGAACTCTTGGGCCTTGCTGTCTCTTGGTTCAGATTATATAAAACAGATGCCCACAGGTTCCTGTGGGTGCCAGATACTGTCATGGAAAGAGAAGAATTTAGACCCCTCAGGAAAAGGGCAGCAGACCTTAGACAGTGGTTTTTGAGATGTGGTCAGAACCACCCAGAGTGCTTGCTAGTTAAGCAAGTGTGTTTCTGGGCCCCGTCTCAGTCATCTTGATCCAACTTTTTAGGATGCTGCTCATTCTGTACATATTTAACAGGCTCCCAGAAAATGGTTTTGTACCCTGTAAAGTTTGAGAACCTTCCCTCGGCTATGACATTGGGCTACAGTGTGAGGGCAGTAAAGAATAAGGAGGTATCTACTCAGGAGGAAGAGACTTCTGTTTCTAGAAATGAGGACAACAAAAATAACTTTTGAAATATCACAAGGGCTGGGGATTTAGCTCAGTGGTTCTGCCGCCTGCCTCGCAAGTGCAAGGACCTCAGTTCAATCCCTGGTACCAATAAATAAATAAATAAATATTTTTAAAAAGCGAAATATCACAGCTCACACTATGAAAAAAATGGTGAATGAGGGAAACATTTATCCACCTGCACAAGGAGATGGCAGGTAAAGTTAAGGCTCAGGTAGAAAAAAGCAGAAGCAAAGAAAAAGAGAAGTCTTTAAGAACCTGACACTAATAATGTTTTAACATTAGGATTTCTACCACCCATGTGGTTTAGGAAACCTAAATTCTCGGCCAGTATTAAGCCCTGGGAAACCTCCTAGGCATAGACAGAGAACCTCTCTGGAGAGACCGCAATCCAGATCACACAGGATCCACACAGAGAAAAAGAGCCTTGGTGAAGACGGATCTGTGATCCAGAGTGACTGCCCATGTGGGGGAATAGTCTACAGGTGACAGTCCACGTCCATAGTGAACAGCTGCACTCCTGATAATAGAGCTGCTGATGAGAGGCTATGAAGTAAGTGTTCGAAACTGTTGAAGATATAGGAAAAGATTGAAAACACAGGACAATAATAAGACAGTGTCCAAAAAGATAAGTAAACTTGAAAACCAAATAGAACTTCTAGAAGAAAAAGTGTTTTCACACTGAAATTAAAAAAAATTTTTTTGAGACAGGGCCTCACTGTGTAGCCCAGGCTGGCCTTGAACTCACAGTGATCCTCCTGCTTCAGCCTCCCGAGTGCTGGGATCACAGGCAGGCACCACCATGCCGAGAGTGAAACTTCAGAATAGGTAGATTGTGTCAACATCAGTTTAGCCACTGTCAAAGATAGATGTGCTGAACGGAAGGCAGAGCTGAGGAAGGCATCTGGATGTAGCACAGAGAGACAGACCCAGAACTGAGGAGCAGACAAACAGTCGGATGATGAGAGACTCTCCAGTGGAGAGGAGAGGAGAGCCAGGAGAAGCGAACTCGAAGAGATAGTGGCTGGACAGTTTCCAGTCTGGACGAAGGAGGCGAAGCCTCAAACTCTGATGGCAGAGTGAGTCTAGACAGGATAAATTTCAAGAAATTAGTGCCTTCTGTTTTAGGTAGATTATAGTTTGGCTGCAGTAAGAAAGAACCTAAAATAACACTGGCTTAAACAGGACAGATATATTTCTTTCTTTCTCAGGTAACATTCCGGAAGATAAGAGGCCCAGCTCCAGGGCAGTGTCTTATGTGTGAAGAGGGTTCACACTGATAGCACCATTCCAACCCTTCCTTCTAAACACATGACCAGAGCCTGCATATTTCCTTATGTGCATTCCCGCTGGCCAGATATTAGTAGCATGGATATATCTGTTGAAGAAAGGTTGGGAAATGTGGTCTTCATTCTGAATAACTATGTGCTCAGCTTAAAGTTTGGTGTTCTGTTTATTTGTTTGTTGTTGGTTTTTTGTGACAGGGTCTGGCTGTGTAGTTCAGGCTGGCCTTGAACTCACTACATAGGCTAGGCTGACCGCAAACTCGTGGCAATCCTCCTGCCTCTCAGCCTCCTGAGTGCTGGGATTACAGGCATGGACCACCACAGTTGCTTGGTGTTCTCTTTATGAGAAGAGGAAAACAGATGATGGAGGACAGCCAGCAGTCTTTAAATGTAGAATAGTAAGAACAATAACAAATAGAAATAAAGTACAACCTATTTATAACTTTCAAATCAACAGAATAGGAAAATGGAGTAAGAAAGCGTATTAAATCCAGATAGGTAACAGGAAAAAGAAGGAGTATATATAAGGGACAAAATGCAGTGGTAGAAATAAATCCAATGTATTGGTTACAAGCAGATACATGTATCGAAGTTCTGAGGTATGAAAATTGGGCTGGGCATGGGTATTACCTGTAATGCCAGCACTTAGGAGGCTGAGGCAGGAGGATTGCCATGGGTTTGAGGCCAGCCTGGGCTACATAGTGAGTTCAAGGCCAGGCTGAACTATACAGCGAAACTCTGTCGGAAAAAAAAAAAAAAAAAAAATAATTAAAAATGGAAAACAGAACTGCATGTACGAGATCAGTAACTTCAAAAACAAACACTGAGTCAGGCCTGGTGGCCTATGTCTATAATCTCAGCACTATGTGAGGCTGAGGCAGGAGGATTGTAAATTTGTGCCTTTTTGGAGAATTTAGCAAGTAAGTGAAACTCTATCTCAGGAAAAGGAGCGGGGAGGGGCTGGGAATGTAGCTCAGAGCATGGGTCCTGGGCTCAGTCCCCAGTATTGAAAGAAAACAAAAAAAACAACATTGGGGCTAGGGATTTAGCTCAGTAGCACTGCGTCTGCCTTGCAAGTGAAAGGTCCTGAGTTCGATCCCTGGTACTAAAAAAAAACCCCAAGCAACAACAACAACAAATTGAACAAAAACAACCGGAAGTGTATAAACAATAAGTTTATGTGCTAGACACACAGCAGTGGGCCTGTGCACTCTAGATGTGTGGGTTGAGTGTCTGCAATACTGTGCAGGTTTTATAAGACACTCTTCAGGCTCATGGCTGGCAACCTTTGGCTTACCTCCCTTCTCTCTGTAGGTGAATCCTAAGTTGGACGATGTATAGTCTATCACTTCAACATGAACAGGAACAGGAAAAAGAAGCTTTATTACCAGTTATGCTGGGATAGCAGATGAACATCAGACCGCCCTAGGCAAAATGGCCTCCCTGCTCCTAAGTGCCACCTTTGTAAAGGGAAATCCAGAACTATAAACTGCCAAGTGCCAGGTCAGGCACATGTGCTTCACAGATGTCTTGTATAATCTTCAGGACAGTTCTGGGGTGGGTGCGTCATTACTCTTTGTACTGGCGAGAGAGGACACCACAGCATTGGAGTCAGCTAAGTCCCAGAGCCTTGGCTCTTCCCTGTCCCAGTCTGTCGAGTGGGTACAGAGTGACGGTGGGGATGTTGAACCCCCTTTTCAAAGCAATAGTTGAGACCCAGGATGGGGTGGTTTTCAGCTCAGGCCATGGCTGGGCGTGGCAGGACTGGGCTGGGCATGCAGGGCAGCCTTTGTCCCTTCAGTCACAGCACTGCCATGTGGGACAAGGAGCTGTGGCCGTGGGGCTTGAATACCATCGGGTTGGTGACAAGTATTTCGTCAGTTTGCTGTAGCCAGCTCTGAGGCAGCTTGTGAATCTTACATGAAAGTGGATCCCTGTCAGCTGCCTAAACTCGATGCCTCCTTGGCTGGTGTCACCCAGACCCACACAGGAGGACAGCTGAGGACACGGTCCGAGGGAAACAAATGCAGGATGGCCCACCACAGTGCAGCTTGTCAGAGGTCCAGGTGTGGCCCTGGAAAGGATTTGTCCAAGTGACAGACGTCGATGCTGGGATTGAAAGGAGAGTTTGAAAACTTGGACACATCTGGTGCACTCCAGCAGCAATGATGACTTTAATTTTTATAAAAATGAGGGAAATGTGAAGTTGAAAATAACTCTTCTCAAACAAGGATGTGTCTGCAGTAGCAGATACTCGGATGGTGATTAAGCTTTTCAAAAACAGTCATAGATGTTCAGAATGCTTTCAGTGCTCAGGAAGTAGTTCTGGAGAAAAATACACTGCAGCACAAGAGTGAATACAGCAGGCCCGAGTGTCAGGTGTCGTCGGTGGCTGGACAGAAATGACAGTGCCCTGCCCTTCCTTCTGCTGCAGCAGGCCACACTGCAAAGGACAGTAAGGGAGTCCTGGGGGTGGGGGAAGGAAGGCATGGCCAGGGACAATGATTCCTGCCTCTGGCCAGTGCCACTGACCACTCTTGACCTAAATGAAAATGGCCAGATGGAAAGTAAGACTCAGACTTATTTTCCACTCTTAGTCTCGATCTCAAAATAGGAAAACAAGTTTTTGCATCAGATGAAATTAGAAAATGTTAGACAGTTGTTGCAGAAGGTCACCAGTATGAATTACTATTTCCCAAGGAAGCCTTGCGTCGTCTTCTGTGCTGCAGAGCAGATGTTCAGCTGAGGTCAATCTAGGAAACTTGTTGAGAGTTCTAGGCCTTGCTGTTCAATGTTTCCTTGTAGTCTCACATGTTTTTTTTTGAGACGGAGCCTTGCTGTGTAGCCCAGGCTGGCCTTGAATTCACCGTGTAGCGCAGGCTGACCTCGAGCCCCCCGAGTGCTGGCATGATAGGCATACACCACCACTCCCGGTTCAGACATAGTTGTTAAACTCTGCAGAGGACGGGAAGGAGAGGGAGCAAAGGTGTCTGGACCTGGCCCTATGCCCCACCCTACTCAGAGGCAAGAGGTGGGCTGTCGCCTTCTCCGCCCCCGCCGCTCTTCACCTGCCCCAAGACACTCAGGATCAGGGAGCGGAGTATTGCGGGAGTCTCCACTTGAGCCAGGGATGGAGAGGGCAGTGTCTGCACGCTCTGCTGCTGTGGTCATTCTCAGACATGGCACCTAATCTCTCCTCCTTCCCTCTGAGCAGATGCAGGAACTGGAGCAGAGGCTGCTAGAGGCTGAGGAGAGAGCGGAGAAGGCAGAGACCCAGGTAACAGGAGGGAATTGGTGCAGGGTACGAGGGCAGTGACCTGCCCCTCCTGTGGACACTCGTGGCTGTGCTCACCACTCTGATGCGCGCCTTACAAGGAAAGGAAACCTAGTGTGTCTTGGACCTGAACAAATTTGAGTGCAGGGAGCTTTCTGTGTGAGTGCGCACTCTCTGAGTCAGGTCAGCACAGAGTGGATGTGTGAGTCCAGAGAGACTGTGCTATTCTGTGGGCATTCTGGGCGGCTTAGCACTTCAATTCTCCAACACGGTGTCCATCTTTCTAATCTGAGAAATTAGTGTCTCCCTTGTCAGTTCCTTCCTTTGCCTGAATAAAAACATAACAAATGGTCACTACATTAACTGGCCCAAGCTGTCACGGGGAAGGGCTCTGGCCTGCAGTCTTGTCATTGCCTGTTGTACACGCGGTGTGAGCACACCTCATGAGGCCATCGGTACTTTTCAGGTGGGTGTGATGGAAGAGAAGGTAAAACTGTCCAATCTTAGGGATGTGGACTCCACAGGCAGCCTGCCCCAGAAGTACCAAGAATTGCTGAAAGCCATGCAGGGCAAAGTAGAGCTCATCGACCAGCTGGAGGCACAGCTGGAGAAGCAGGTAAGACACCAGTCCCCTCGTTACCTGCACCATTGGCCCACAGCCTCTGGAGGCCCTCTGCTGGAGCCCTGGAGTGATGGGTAACTCACTCCCTCGTGAGCCTGTTCTTTTACGTGGAGATTTAGTTATCCAAGGATCTCTCTCATATCTGCAGTAGAAGTCAAGCAGGGTCTATAGAGGCAGAAACGCCTTGCAGACAGACTGTTCTGATTTTAGTACATGTGCTGCTGAAGCACGCACAGACAGACTGCCGGGTGTGAATCCCACTTCTAGCATCTGTTGCTCTCAGAGCATGGGCATATTGGTTAGGTCACCAACTGTCAAGCCAGGGATGGTGGTGCACACCTGTAATCCCAACACTGAGGAGTCTGAGGCAGGAGGATTGTGAGTTCAAGGCCAGCCTAAACTACACAGTGAGAGTCCCTGTCTCAAAAATAAGTCCCTGATTCTCATTTTCTCCATGTATAAAATAGAGGTTATAATATCTCACAGGGTTTTGGGGAGAATGAAGCCAGGTAATCTGTGTAAAGTGTTAGACACATGGTCAGTGCTTGGTAAAGAGAACTTTTCCCTCTCTGTGTTGGACCTGCATCCTGCCAACATGTGCTGCACAGTACTTGGCTGTAATGTAACCACAGCAGCACAGTCCTGGACAGTCAGTCTTGTCAGCCATTTGGGCGGAGTTTCTCAGTGACCTCAAGTAGGCAGAGGCCAAAGTTGTCATGGGCCAGCAGTACAGCCAGTCAACACTCTTACTCCCCAGAGACTTTGTGTGTAGAAAGGGCCCCCTATGTTGCCTAGGCTGGCCTCAAATCCCGCAGTCTTCCTACCTGAGCCTTCTGCGTAGCAGGGATTACAGGCATGCGCCACTGTGCCTGACCGACCATGTGAGCGGATTTTTGGGAGGTCCTTTTGCCAGGTCCCGTGCTCAGCCTGTTCCCCTCCACAATTTCATGTCTCCATCACAGTTCTGTCCCTTCCTTCTGCTGCGGTCTCATCTGTCCAGCTTTCCCTTCTGGCTAGCACGCCATCCATTTTCAACAACAGACCCCACAGTAGGGCCAGCAACTTCGTTTTTTATATGTTCATTCTCTGTGAAGTCCCAGCTAATGCTAGCAGTGCTTTCATGAAATCCATGGCTTTTTTTTAATCTTTATTTTTCTGTTGATATCCTGTTCACATCCTTTACAGATACTAGATTGTTCATTTCAAACAGCCCTTTGTATGTGTGTAATTTGTGTTATAAATCCTTCCCAACTGGTCTTTCGATTCTGTTTAAGGGATTCTTTATTTTCAGTCATACACAAATTTATAGTTAGGATATAGATTTAGTCTTTTGCTCTGTGGCTTTTTGGGATTTGTATTATGTTTAGGAATTTGTAAGAACATAACTTTTTTTTTCTTTTAAGCTATTCCCATTTAGTCACTTGATGTTTCTTTCTTTCTTTCTTTTTTTTTGGTGTCGGGGATCGAACTTGATGTTTCTTTTGGTTTTCCACCCCAGTTATTCACTCTCCTTGTGACATTGTGATTAAGTAAAGTCCCTGTCTTTCTTGCAGAAGCAGATGAGAGCCGAGGAAGCAAAAATGGTTCAGAAGAAAGCTGCAAAGATCAAGGAGTGGGTGGCACTAAAGTTAACGGAGGTCAGTCGGAAGCTCCGCTCAGGGGCCTGGCCGGAGGTGTAGCTGGGCTTGGTCGCCCTCTTCCCAGCTCCCTTCTTCCTGTGTGGTTCCTTGCCTGCCTTTGCATTTGTTATCCACTTTCCTGTGTTCATTTTAAACCCTGGGATGTGTGGCTTTACCTCCCTTCTGTCTTGGTCATTTTCCCTGGGCTTCTGAATGGTTCTGTGCTGGGTGTAAGTGTGGAAGAAAGAATGAGTCTGGCAGTCCCCTCAGTTTCCTTCTGAGGAGTGTACTCAGACCACTGTCCACTCAATCTCCTTACTCTGCCCGTTTTGTTTTTCTATTTTTCCTTTTTTAAGATTATTTTGCCTACACTTCATTTATCTATTTTAATTGTTTGTTTTCAAATCCTTGTGGGCTGATTTTTAATAGATCACAGCAAGGGAACTGTTCTGCTACATTGGAAACCCCAACCCAGAAGCTGGTTGTCTACAGATGGTTCAGGGCCAGCTTCCCTGATAACATGCTTTACCTGATGGGTGATGGGCCAGAGGGCGGCCCCTTTCCAGCCACACACACCGTTTCCCCAGATGAAGGGCTCCCCTGATCCGCCACGGTCAATGCACAATAGGGAGATACCTTGGGGACCAGTGGGAGATCGGCTGTGTCGGACCAACTGAGGCACTGTTGGCACTTCTGTATGGATCTGCCTGGGTTTTAAAAAATTGTGGTAGAGGGCTGGGGATTTAGCTCAGTGGTTTCACTGCCTGCCTTGCAAATGCAAGGTCCTGTACCTGTGCCCCAGTACCAAAAAAAAAAAATGTGCCCTTGGTTTGGACCAAGATAGAACTCTACTTTGGCGGGGCTCCACTTTTCTCTTTTCTAGGATTCTTTTGTATGGTTGAGTTGGGTTCATCTTTTTTCCTGCACTGGGGACTGAACCTAGGAAGTACTGGGATAAATCCTAGCCATCCCCGCCCTTTCCAGACAGGGTCTCGCTGAGCTGTCCAGATTGGCCTCATACTGTCAGCCTCCAAACTAGTTGGGATTACAGGTGTGCACCACCATAGGTGGCTTATTTTTAACTTTTCTAAAATTGTGAACTATAACACACACACACACACACACACACACACAGAGAAATGATTCTGAAACTACTATCTAGATGACTACCACCCAGGTTAATAGATAAAACTTGGAGCTGGGCATGATGGCACATGCCTGTAATCCATGCACTCTGGGAGGCTGAGGCAGGAGGATCCCAGGTGGGAGCCCTGCCTGGGCAACTCAGCAATGTAGCAAGATCCTGTCTCAAAATAAAAAAAAATTTTTTTAAATTAAGAGTCTAGGGGGCTGGGGATTTAGCTCAGTGGTTCTACCACCTGCCTTGCAAGTGCAGGGACCCAAGTTCGATCCCCGGTACCAAAAAAAAAAAAAAAGAGTCTAGGGATGTAGCTCAGTGTGAAGGCCCTGTGTTCAATCCCCCATATCAAAATGATGATGATGACAATAATTGCCAGCACCCCACACAACTCAGCCTTCACAGTCACGAACACTCACACCCCAGTAAAGGTAACCACCCGCTTCACCACATTCACTCCGGCACTTACGGCTGGCACCATCTCAGCACCCATTCCCATACTGGTTTAGTTGTGCCCATCTTTGCACTTGGATAAATAAAATTACACAGTATGTAGTTCTCCGTATCTGGTCTCTCTTGCTCCATCTACCACCTGGGAAATCCATCCTCGTGGTGGCTGTGTTTTCTTTCTAGTCTAAATCTTCATTTTCTCTCTTTCCTCTTTTCTTTCTTTCATTCTTTGTCTGGGAATCAAACCCAGGGCCTTGAGCTTGTCAAGGACTCTACCCCCGAGCCACACCCCAGTCCCCTAAATCTTCATTTTTTCCCCTCAGCTAGAGATGGAGAATCAGCACCTGAGAAGCTGTAATCAGCACCTGGTGGAGCAGGTGGGAGCCCTTCAGGCAGCGCTAGAAGGTAGGCTGCCAGCAGGGCAAGGTGTGTGTGTGAGATGTGTGTGGGGTGTGTGCCTGAGTGTGTGCGGTGCGGAGCACGTGCAAGGGGGACCGTGGCGGAGTGGAGCGGAGCGAGCTCTCACCGGCCTTGTTTCTGTCCCAACCTCAGCCCTCCAGATGGCACCTCCAGGGAAGCTGTTGGTGATCCCCAAGGGAAGCCCAGAGCTGGATTCGGTGCCCACAGAGTCAGGAGCCCGGCCTGTGGGGCAGGACAGTGGTTCCCAGGCCCTGGATTTGAAAGGAGCTATTCCTGTGCTTTCTGTGGATGCTCCCGAGAGCACAGGCTTTCTGTCTCAAGCCAGAGACTCTGTGGAAGACTCTTGTTCCAGCACATTCCACCCTGTGGAAGTGGCAGATACCAGAGTGCTTCAGTCTCATCTGGAAAGCGAGCACTTTCCCAGCCAGCTGTGCGTGAAGCCCAGCACCCCCGGATATGGGGAGGGCACGGTCACTGCTCAGGAGAGGGTGCTGCCTGGTGTCAAGACCTCTGTCAGGGAAGGTGGCCCTGGCAGCAGCCTGACCCTTCCTAAAGTGCGGGCTTCCAGCACTCCCCAGGTTAGCATCCAGGTGGCCAAGAGGCACCACAGTCAGCCCCACGTCGGACTCGGCCACTTTGAGCGTGCGGTGAACACCGAGACTGGGTCCCTGTCGGCCTTCCGCCCGTCTGGCCTTTCCAAACTGGACACCTGTGCTGACTTCTGGGAAGAACCGGAGAAGATGGAGATGGGGGAGCTACCTCCAGCAGGAAAGGAGGAGGAGAGGGACAGCCTGAAGGTGCCCAGCACTGAGCTGGAGGAAGTGAAGCTGGGGAACAAGCCACCCACACCACCCCTGCACAGGTTTCCGTCCTGGGTAAGAGGCAGCCTTGGGGCTGGGCAGGGGGCAGAGCCAGCGATGGGCGCACTGTACCTTCAGCTTTTCCTAGCGGCACCAGGTATCCAACACCCACCACCCAAAGAAGGCAGGGTTTGTTTTTGCTCAGGGTTTCAGAGATTTCAGTCTATAGTCAGGTGGCTGCAAGGCAGGAACCTGGTGGCAAAAGGGCGCGGTGGGGCGGAGCCGTTCCAAAGGCAGCCAGGAAACTGGAGGAAGCGCCGGGAGAGGTCTGCCCTCCACAGGCTCACCCCGGCCCTGCTGCCACCGGGTGCCACAGCCAGCAGCCCGTTCAGCTGTGGCCGTCAGTGTCTCTTAACCCCGTGGAGTTGACAGCTGAAGAGAACGGGCGCTGGGCTGAGCGTGAGCGGAAGCTGCACTCATAGCAGTGCTGGGGCTCCGGTGCCAGGGAGCCTCCTGTGTGCGCTCAGCCTGTTTCTGAGCACTCACTGTGCCCCACGCCCAGCCGGCGCCTGCTACACCGTTCTCATTTCACCTCTGTGACTCTCTGAGGTCGTCCCGCATGTGTGGGGGGCCCTAAGGTTCAGCTGTTAATCGTGTGACCCTAGGTAGGTTCCGAAACCTCAGTGCCTCAGTTTCCCTAAATGGTGATGGTAGTGACTGCTTTACAGGGCTGCCAGTAGGATTAAAAGTGTTGATGTCTCATGAACTTGCCGGGTAGTAAGTGATACGCGAGTGTTGGCTGTTTCGGCTTCTGAGCCTTAGCCTCCCTGTAACACTGGATGAAGTAACCTGATGTCTTGTAGGAGATGCAGGTTAAACAAGATCACACATTAGTGTGTGGTTAAGCTGGGCAGTGTACAGGAGATCGTACTGTACACTCTTCTGTTTCTCTTTTTCTCTTTAATTGGTGGTACAGGGCATCTAATCTGGGCCTTCACACTGAGATATATCCCCATAACTTTTCTTCTTTTTTGTAGGGGGTAGTGGGCATCGAACTCAGGGCCCCACACTTGGCAGGCAGGTGCTCTACCACTGAGCTACATCCCCGGCACCCCAGCACTTTTTTTTGGGGGGGATACTGGGGATTGAACTTGGGTTCTTGTGCTTGTGAGGCAGGCAGCGGAACCACTGAGCTAAATCCCCAGCCCTACACCTTTTTATTTAGATACAGGGTCTTGGTAAGTTACTAAGTTGCTCAGACTAGGTTTGAATTTGTGTTCCTTCTGCTTCAGCCTCCCACAGTGCAAGGACTACTGGTGTGCACCTCTATACCTGGCTTGTTTTTTCTATTTTTGTATTGCACATTTTCTGTGTTAAAAAATTAAAATAAAAAGGGGGCAGGGTTTGTGTGAACAGTGTTTCACAGGGCAGTGATGAGGGTGACTGGGAGTTTGAAGGATCCTCACCTGTTGAGGAGTTGGGCTGTGGGTCTCCCATGATAAGTGCAAACCGCTGTCCCTGCTCATGGTCATGTATTAGTTAGCAAGTGTGCTGGGCTGCCTTTGGAGCCAGCCCCGATGGAGTGGGATGTGGTGAAGGCACGCACACCTGGTACTCATGGTCAGACCGGATGCTGGTAGGGTGTGAGGCACTTCTGTGGGAGCAGCTGAGTGTGGATTCCTGGCCGCAGAAGTAGGGTTGTCTCCCTACTCCACTGCCTGGGAGCCATGCTTTGAAGCATCAGTACTTTCCAGGGCTTCTCTTGAAGGCCTGGTTCAGGGAGGCTCCTACCCAGGTGCTGACCACTCTCAGGGCACCTGGAAGACTGGACCCACAGCTGAGCGAGGGCCAGGGCCTCCCGAGGGTCAGGAGGTGGGAAGGCGCGGTGCCCTGACCTTGGCCGGCTTCTTCTTGGTCATTTATTGTCTTGCTCTGGAGCCCTAAAGCAGAGGTGCCGTGAGGGAGGGAGCATCCAGGTGAGGTGTACGGCAGGAGGACTCAGCAGGGCACTACCTGAGAGAAGTGGTCCTTGCAGCTGCCATTTTGCCAAGATACGGCTGTCTAAGTGGTGCTGAGGGGACTCTTGTGTTCTCCATGTTCGTGCTGTGGGCAGGGAGAGAAAGTGTGAGAATGGAGGGGGGAGAGACAGAAGGAGGAGAGGATAAATACACATAAAATGCTTCAGCCAGGTGCAGTACACCTAAGGCTGCGGTGGGAGGGTCACTTAAGGCCAGTGCTTCAAGCCCAGCCTGTGTAACACAGAAACAAACAGAAACCAAGCAAGCCAAAACAATAAAACACTTAAAATGGCATTGTCCACCTGGATATCAGCTACACCCCTGGGGTACAAGAGTTTAGGGGCAACATCAGATCCTTCCCTAACCCCTCCTCTTAGCTGGGCCGTGGGACTTCAAGCATCAGCCAGTAAACGTTAAGCAGAAACTGTTTCCTGTTTTCAGTCTTTGTAACTCATTGCCTAGGGAAACGTCAGTGCCAGCTTGTCTGAGACCCCTGAGGTAGGGTCGTTCCTGTCCATGTGAACTTGGGAAGCCACCAAAGCCACCATGGCCGTAGAGCCCAGCCTGGGCAGCAGACGCCCTGCGGCAAACAAGGCCTGGGAATTCTGAGGTGTCAGATCTGTTATTTGCCTTAAGGGTTTGTAGAGTTTTCTCTTAATCCTTAAAAGAGCCTTGCAAAGTAGGCATGGATACCTTTTGTCAAACAGGGCTTTCTTTTGTTTAGCCTCAGTCCTTCAAGCTTCAATTTCATTTCCTTTCTGAAGTCAGAGGCCTGTCCTTGGTTTAATTCCATGACTACTATGGGCAGAAATCTTTTCTGTACCTGTTACTGTGTGCACCCCAGCTAGCTACCCTGCATAAATACAGGCATTCCCCCATCCCCTCCCTGCTCCTGACCCATCCTTAATTCCTCGGTCCCAAGGGTCCCACAGTTCGCCTGTCCAGCCCTGGGGCCGCACCCCAGGCCACGCCCTTCCTGCCCCACTGCCCCCAGCTGCTTACTCTGAGGCTAGAAACCTCCCTAGTCAGCCCCTGTGACTCACCATCACCTGAGTGGCCTTTGTTTTCCCTATCAGGGGAGTGGAACAAAGGGCTTTAGAGCAGCCTGGGCCCAGCCGGCCTGTCAGTTGAGAGGATCAGACCTCACCAGGCCTGGGGGCTGCCTCAGACCCTGGCACACCCTCAGGGCCAGTGTGCTCTGCAGGGTTCCTGAGCCATTTGGGCTGAGTAGGCTTTGTAGGTTGGCCCTGAAGCCTAGCCCCAATTTTACCTTATTACTGGAGGAAGACACTGCTTCCTAGGTTCCAGATACAGTGCTGGCTTGTAAGAGACTGCCTTCAGCATGGGACTTTGCTTTCTCAGTGTCAAGATGGACAGCCTAAGGGGTGAGGTGCTGAGGCCCAGAGGCCTCTAAATGAATAAGACTTTGAGAAACAGGTTTCTGACCCGCCCTGCTTTCCACACCAAGGACCAGGATGGAGGGGGGATAGAATGGATATCTGCTGGGCATGCGCATTACGTCCAGGTCTTAAAGTTTGCCATTAACTCTTTCACTTGATTGCACAGCAGTCCCCTGAAGGTCAGTATTGTTATTCCAAGTTAAAGCTGAGGGAAGCGAGTCTCAGTCTGGAGTCTCTGAAGTGAAGAAACTGACTGGAGCCCTCAGCAAACACCTGGCCCATCCCAGGTGTGGGCCCACTTGGGCCCAGTTCTGCACACTTGCACAGCCACGGTTTTCCTCTGCTCCCTGGCTGGCCTTGACCTCCAGGGACCTCTCTTTCCAGGAGAGCCGCATCTACGCGGTGGCAACCTCGGGCATGCAGGTGTCAGATGTGTCTCCCCGAAGCAGTGCTTCTTGCTGTGGTGAGTTCGTGTGAGGCTAGGGTAGCAGGGTGGGTAAGCACGGAGGAGGAGACTGCAGCACCCAGGGTCCCCAGCAGGAGCAGGGCGGTGAGCAAATGCGGCCTGAGCCATTACCCTCTGGGACTGGGGAGGGAAACTGCTCAGGTTCAGCTCAGCAGAGCTGGCCAGGAGGGGAGGCAGCCAAGAACAGATCAATCCAGAGCTGGGAGGGATCTGCTGCCCTCAGATGCTTCCCTTGCGCAGGGCAGGAATGTGGGTTCTTCCCTGTGGTGGGAGGAACCTCAGCGCCCTGATTCAGGTGAGTTCTGCCCACCAGCTCCTCTGTCTCTTGCCAGCCCCAAAGCAACTGGCCCCCAGGGTCACATGGTTTGTAACTCACCTCAGCGAGAACACTGCCTACTGCCTTGTGGATGGGGGAGAAAATGGTTAGAGAGGAAGACTTTGGGATTCCATTGTGGTGGCCTTTAATGTGAGGAGGTCGCTGCCCTCTAAATGTCTTGGTGAGGCAGGAGCGGAGGTGAGAAAATCCCAGATTGTCCCCCTTGTCTTCCTGGGTTGTGCCAGCTGAGCTCCCCCATCCCTCTTTCTCCTCAGCTTCGAGTCCCCCTGCCCTTGTGTGCCCTGGGCCTTTCTCTGGCCTTGCCTACAAGAACATCACCGTGCCTGTCTACACGACGCTGAAAGGGGTAAGAAAGACGGGGCTGCCCTGTCTGGAGAGGCCCTGTCTCAGCACACACTGCCTGGGGAGGACTGAGGGGCCAAGAGGGAGTTCAGCCCGATAGAGTGTTTTATTATTTATCATCTTGGCTATAAAAATTCTGCATGTACAAAAATTTGAGTCTGAATGAATGTGGGCGAAGTAGAAAGTCAAGGGTTAAGCCTGTCCCTCTCCCGTTCCCCGTCTTTCTCAGGTTTGCCGCCCCACTCCTCAGGCCCCGGAGGGCAGGGGGCTCCTTCCCGAGGTGCTTATGTTTGAACACATATACTCATAACATTGCTACACTTTTCAAGACAAAAATGACATATAACTGCCACATGTTTTCATACATATTTTTGTCTTTTTGTTACGGGTTCTTGAATCTTTATAATAATACTTGGCAAAGCTTTTCACAGAAAAATAAGAAACCAAAAGTGAAATTTCCTCTCCTGATTCCTAACGTTAGAGGCAACTGTCATTAATGGTTTGATATCTGTCCTGCAAGGCCCTCTGATGCATTTACAGAAAGGGGACGCGCAGGCAGACATACATATGCAAGCGCGCTTTCTCTCCTCACCCCTGCCCCGTGCCTCTCACCCTTCATTCTCATGCATATGTGTGAGTACGTGTGTCACACACACTCACACTCACAGAGAGGGGCATTTGCCAGGCATAGCATCACATGCTTGTAATCTCAGCACTCCGGGGAGATGAGCAGGATCACAAGTTCAAGCCCAGCCTGGGCAGCTTAGTGACTTAAGGAGACCTTATCTTGAAAGAAATAAATAAAGGTCTGGGGAAGTAGGTCAGTGCGACAGCTGTAGGTTCAATCCCTAGTACCACAAAAAGCAAAGCAAAGGGTTGTTCTGAGACAGGCCATTCTGTGCCCCCACCCCGATTGCTCACTTGACCACCGTGTGCCAGTGGCTCTTTGCGCTACTCTGCAGGACCCCTCAGTGGCTGCACCGAAGCTGCCCTCATTTATGCAGGGCTGTGTCCTTACCTTTCCTAAAGTACTGTTGCAGTGAGCATCCTCGTGCACTTACGTGCGCATGTCTCCGAGGGACACTACCGGTGGAGTTTCCGGGAAAATTACATGAAGTTTGTAGATTTGGGCAGGTACTGCCAAATTACTCTCTGAAAATACTTCGGGGACTGGGGTGTAGCTTAGTCAGAGAGTACTTGCCTGATGTGCCAGAGGCCCTTTTGATTCCTAGCGCCACACACACAAAAATCCTGCCACAAAACAAAATGCACATTTCTTTTTGCAGTGGTGGGTACTGAACCAGGGCCTTTGTACTGAGCTATTTTCTGAGTCCTTCATATTTTATTTATTTATTTTTCCTTGTGACAGAGTCTTACTGCTGGGGATTTAGCTCAGTGGCACTGTGCTTGCCTGAGTTTAATTCCAGGTGCTGAAAAAAAAAAAAAAAAAAAAAAAGCCTAGAGACAGAGTCTCACTATGTAGCCCAGGTTGGACTCAAACTTGTGGTGTGGTTACAGGTGTGCACTACCACACCTGGCCAAAACACAATTTTTTTCCAGTACCAAGGATCAAACTCGGGACCTTGACCTTGTGCTGGTGAGGCAGGCACGGCGCCACTGAGCTAAATCCCTGGCCCAACACACACATTTTTAAAAAGCAAATAAGTACAAATGCTTTGCCACACTATAGGATGTTTCCCCCAAAATCTCATACTCTCAGCAGCATTGACATAATCCGTCTTTTCAGGTGTTTGCCATTCAGGAAGATGCCTCCTCTTTCTGTATGGCCGCAGACACATTTGCAAGGCTGCGGTCCTGCACTCTGGCCCACTAGTGTAGGGAGTGAGAGTCATGGTAGGCAGGTGCAACCTGGATGGGACAGCTATGGGGGACCCAGGAGGCAATGTGTGGTGGGGGTGGAGGACCAAGGAACAGCAAGTGAGTCAGGAAGGACTTTACCCCGTTTGGGACGGTGATCTGTTCAGTGCCCCAGCCAGGCGATGGCCACAGGGGCAGAGCACCTGCAGAGGGGGATTGTTCTGCAGCCTGAGCTACAGTGAGGCAGGTCCTGTCTTGCAGAAAGCCACACAGATCAGTAGTGTGCCCTTCATGGATGAGTCCTCTGGCTCTGACGATGACTGCAGCTCTCTTGCGAGTTTCCGGATGTCAGTGCCCTGCTCTGAGTGTAGGAAGAACAGCGGACTAGGCAGTCCCCGGGCCATCAAGAGAGGTACCGAGAAGGGGAGCGGGAAGGGCCTGGTCTGCTCCTGGCATCCCCAGCGGATCCATACTCAGCCCCAGGCACAGGGACGAGGGTCGAGTGATGAAGGCTTGGCCGCTCCTGGGCTGGGGGTGTGTGTGGGGGGTAAGGGACCTGACTCCTTTCCCCTGGCCAGGGGTCTCCGTGTCCTCACTGAGCTCCGAGGGTGACTACGCCATTCCCCCTGATGCCTGCTCTCTGGACAGCGACTACTCAGAGCCTGAGCACAAAATGCAGCGCACCTCGTGCTACTCTACTGAGGGGCAGGGCCTGGGCACGGTGAGCAGTGGGCATGGATGGGCGCAGATGCATGGTGTTGGTGGAGGGAGGAGGTGGCCCTAGAGAGAGGTGGACACAGGCCCCCAGGAGAAAGAAAGGGGGAGCGCAGGGAGCTTCTCAGCGCCACATGGACACGTGTAGCCCTGATCTTGTTATTCATCCACGTGGACCTGGCGTGCTGGCTCAGGGCACTTTCCATCTCGGGGGCCTCTTACGGTCATTGCCCGGTCTCATGGATGGAAAGCCTGAGGCTGGGCGATGTGTACCTCATGGCAGGGCAGCAGTGGCTACAGATCTGGCTCCACACCACCACTGCCCTGTCTTCATCTGCCCGTCACAAGCCCTTCTCCCAGGCTGGCTGATGTGCTGTGGTTTGCAGACCTGCCTGTCCACTCCTGTCCATGCTGCCACCTCTGACTCCTCTCTTTTTTTTTCTTTCTTTTTCATTGTTTATTGGTACGTTTTAGGTATACAGTTCAGTTACCTTCATCATTGGGATCTTGTACCTTTACATGACAGGTCTTGGTTCTTATTTTTCCCCCTTCCCCTGCCCTCCCTTCACCCGCTCCACCCTTCCCTATTTACAAAGACTGTTTCCATTTTTCCGTTTCCTCATATTTTTTCCTTTCCCTTACCCCTCCTACTTCCCCTACTCCTTTAGACCTTTTCTTCCTATTACCATTATCAATTATACTTTTTTTTTTGGCACTGGGAATCAAACTCTGGTTTGCTGTGCTTGCAAAGCAGGCTCTGGAACCACTGAGCTAAATCCCCAGGGCCTGGTCTGCTCCTGGCATCCCCAGCGGATCCATACTCAGCCCCAGGCACAGGGACGAGGGTCGGGTGATGAAGGCTTGGCTGCTCCTGGGCTGGGGGTGTGGGGGGTAAGGGACCTGACTCCTTTCCCCTGGCCGGGGGTCTCCGTGTCCTCACTGAGCTCCGAGGGTGACTACGCCATTCCCCCTGATGCCTGCTCTCTGGACAGCGACTACTCAGAGCCTGAGCACAAAATGCAGCGCACTTCGTGCTACTCTACATCAATTATACATTTTGACCCTTATTTACATTTTTAGTTTTTCACACCAGAGAAACTATTGAGTATTTACACATGTGAGTCTTATTTATTTCACTTAAGAGTATGGCCTCAGTGTGCATCCATTTAGCTATAAATTTCTAGTTTCTCATTCTTTATGGCTGAGTACGCCATTTTATATATATATATAAAACAAACATTTTCTTTATCCAGTGACTCCTCTCTTTCCAAGGCCACTTGAGGGCCAGCTCTTTCCCATACCCTTTCCTGGCAGCCTCTCCCCCATGCAGCCCCTGCTGCTGCCTCCCCTGCAGTTATTTTCACCACCCCTGGGAGCCATCCGTGTTCTGAGTCCTTTAGCCCTCTCCTAACCCTCAGCAGGGTGTAGCGCCCAGAAAATAAGCACACATAATAGGTGCTCGGTCATTGTTTCTTTTGAAAATTAATGACAGCACAGTGACCCAGGCGGATCACTTTGGCCTGCGTGATGTCCAAGAGCCCAAGTGATTCTTCCCTCTGTCACCCTCTTCTCGTGTGCCCTTCCACCCTGCAGGAGGCCCTGGAGAAGTCAAGTTACCTGCTGAAAATGGGCAGCCGTGTGAAGACGTGGAAGAGGCGCTGGTTTGTCCTGAGACAGGGGCAGATTATGTACTACAAGTCCCCGGTGAGGATCTCTCCCAACACTGTACTGAGCAGGGCTGCACCCCAGGCCCGGGGCTGTGTGAGAGAGGCTGCAGGAGAGGCCAGAGGGGCAGCAGGGCCCGAGGGCAGAGGCCAGAGGCTGGTAGGGAGAGGCACCTGACTGGTACCTGAGGCTGACGGGGCCCTGAGCCTGCACCCCTGCTGTCCTCGCGTTGGGCCAGGCAGCTCTAGGCCAGTTGGCTTGACAGTTCTTTCAGAAGCTGATGTATTTTCCTCGTGCTCCCTGCCAACCTCCCTTCCCCTCCTTTCCTTTTTTCCCTTCAATCCTTCCCTTGCTTTCCTCCTTTCTTTCCTCCTTTCTTTCCTCTTGTCCCTCCCTTTCTCCTTCTGTCTTCCCTTCCTGGGAATCAGACCCAGGAGTACTCTACTATTGCGTTACATCCCTGCTCCCTATTTATTTATTTATTTGCTACTGGGGATTGAACTCGGGACCTTGCGCTTGCGAGACAGGCAGCAGAACCACTGAGCTAAATCCCCAGCCCTTGTTTCTGTTGTTTTGTTTTGAGACTGGGTCTTGCTGTGTAGTTCAAGCTGTCCTTAAACTCACAATATAGCTCAGGCTGGCCTCACTGTGTTACTCCTTCCTCAGCCTCCAGAGTGCTGGGATTATAGGCATGAGCCACCATGGCTGGTTCTCCCTTTTATTTTTGGAGATGGTTCTCTCTAAATTGCCCGGGCTGGTATTGAACCTGCAGTCTTCTGCCTCAACCTCTGAAGTAGCTGGGATTACAGGCATGCACTGCTTTAAGATATCTCAGAAGCCAGTTTCCCAGTCCTGTAAGCACTGTTTATAGGTTGCCTTTACCTCCTGGAGATTATTCTGACAAGCTTGGTGCCTCCTCTACCTCCTTACTCTACCATCTGGAATTAAGGAACCTTAAATGTTAGAAACTTACTTGCTAGGGCCTCCCTAGAGAGCCAATTTTAATATTTTATTTATTTGGGTTTTTTGAGATGGGATCTTGCTACATAGTTCAGGCTGGCCTCAGACTCATCACAATTCTCTTGCCTCAGTCCCCCAAGTGCTGGGATTACAGGCCTGTGCCACCATACCCAGCCGAGAGCCAGCTTTAATGTTGTAAAGAAGGCGGAAAGGCCTTATCTCTTCTGTAGCTCCAATTAGTTGGTAACGGCTGTTTCCAACTCCATGTTAAGGATTCTGGATCTGTTCCTCCATGCGAAGCATGCTGTGGTCAATTAGTAATGTCTTTGCTAACCCTGGAAAGCACAAAAATACTGATAGACATGCCACGTATTTGCCATTATTACTATAAGAATGTAGTAAGAAGATTTTGTTTGTTTTTGTGTTTGTTTGTTTGAGGTGTCTTGCTTTGCTGCCTAGGCTGGTTTTGAACTCCTGGGCTCAGCCTCCTGAGTAACTGGGACTATAGGCACACGTCAATACACCTTGCTTTGTAGAATTTAAGGGCTATGTAGGTCAGTAATAACCTGGTGGACTCTGACACAACTTTAAAGTCTCATGCTATCCTTTTTCAAGACCTGGGTCAGAAGGACCCATGACTTTAATTATGTCTCCATTTAGCTAGAATCAAAATCTAGAATAAGCTACCCATTGTACAGAGCCAGGGAGGCTTGAGAATCTTTCCCCTTGGCCTATGACTTGGGGTAAGGTATGAGGGATAACTACTATGCTCTGAGAAGCCTTTCTACTCCAGTGCTCTCCTTCCTGTTCCTTTCTTTACAGAATGATGTCATCCTGAAACCTCAAGGTCAAGTGGACCTGAATTCTCATTGCCAAATTGTTCGAGGGGAGGGTGCGCAGACATTCCAGGTGAGCTTGCTTCCAGCTGCTAGGTTTTTTTTGTGTTTTTGTGGTACTGAGGATTGATCCCAGGGGTCTTTGCATTGAGCTACATCTCTAGCCCATTTTTTATTTTGAGACAGGGTCTCACTAAGTTGCTAAATTGTCCGAGTGAGGCTGGAACTTAGGATCCTCCTACCTCGGTCTCCCACAGTGCCGGGATTAAAGGCATCTGCCATCACAACCAGCACAGCTAGTATTTTAGACGACAGATAAGGTGCCAGATTTGGATATGACCATGATTGAGACAAAGGTATGGTAAAAGGAACATGAATGATAGACTTTAAACTGTTAGGATGTGATCCTATTTGTGTGTGTGTGTGTGTGTGTGTGTGTGTGTGTGTGTGATCCTATATTTTGAGTACAAAAAAAAGGCAGAATGTGAGAAATGAAGTGGAAGTAGGAAAGACAGGGAGGAAAAGATGAGGAAAAAAAGGGAAGTAGCAATAGGCTAGAAAGAAGGAAGGCCCAGTGGGTTCAGGAATTTGAACTGCCGCAGAGCCTGTCTTGCTATGTCTTGTCATGCTGACGCCAACTCCTCGCCCTCCGTAGCTCATCTCTGAGAAGAAAACCTACTACCTGATGGCTGACTCACCCAGCCTACTAGAGGAGTGGATCCGGGCCCTGCAGAGCTTGCTGAAGGTGCAGGCCACGAGGCCTCCAGCCTTATCTCAAGGGGGCACCAAGCCTGCTGTGAAAGGCTGGCTGACCAAGGTAGGAGGTGGGCCTGGGGAGGGCTGCTGAGTCAGGGGAGCCAGGTGTGGAGTGCCAAGGAGTGGTGGGCTCCTGTCACCAGGAGCTTCCTTGTAGTGATTAGCTGGTTGCTCCTTAGAAAAGGTGATGGTGATGATTCGCCAGCCACAGGGCTCAGTATTGTTAGACAGGTGTTCTCAAGATTGGAGGGAAAGAATGTTTCACCCCTCTGGTCATTAGGGGTTACCCCATGTGCCCCCCACATCTCAGGAGTAACAGTGAGAAGAAGAGGCCTGGTGAGTGGGTATGGTTGGCTATTCAAAGAGTTAGAGTATCCCGGGCCTGCCCAAAAGAAGTTTTAGCTAGGGAGCAGAGAAGCATTTGTTAACTCCAGGAAAGGGGACCAGAATACTCCAGAACTGAAGCAGCATGTGCTCAGCACCCGAGTGCTCACAGGCCCTCCTTCTCTGCCTCTGCCTTCCCTTCAGTTTGCTTATGTCCATATCCTCTGCCTTTGTGCAGTGCTGCTCCCTCTGATCTCTGGTTCCTGAGAGCTCCAGCCTGCCACAGCCTTACCTGCCTGGTGGCATCCTCACAACTCTGGCCTCTGCCAACTAGCAAGTCCTTCTCACGCTCGTGTTGTGGGAGGAGACCTCTGACTGTTCTGGTCTGCCCTTCGGTGGTAGGCCATAGGTCACTGAGTAGCCTGAGGGTGGCGGAGGTGCTCAATGCACACACCATGGCACCCTCACTGTGGAAGAGGTTCTTTTGGAGGAAGTCTAGGGACCTGAGTTTGGCTGCCTCCCTCTGGTTTCTCTTGGCCAGTCCTGATTTTATTTCTAGAACCTCCTGGTTCTGATAAAGTGCATTCATTTTTGTCTTACAGGTAAAGCATGGCCACTCCAAGCTAGTCTGGTGTGCTCTTGTTGGGAAAACCTTCTACTATTACCGGAGCCATGAGGACAAGGTACTTTCTTGACCTCCCCATGACACCTGCTCTCCTGCTTCTCTCAAACCACATTACTGGGGCTCCATGTCCTGATGGCAGGGCGCAGTGTCATTCACGACCCCCACCAAATCCCATAACTAGTACAAGAGCCTGCTGGCTCCATCCTTCAGAGCACATGAGCGTGTAGTCTGTCAGTGCTTCTCCAAGCGAGTCTCATTCTGCCCCACCTCCCCATTCTGCCCTCTGTCCACATCCATGACTCCCAGCCCTCCAGAGCCCAAAGCTTCAGATAGAACAGATGCTCCCATCCCTGAGCCTCCCATTCATGGAAGGCTCATGTCTGCAGCGACCTCTGGGCTGTCTGCCTGTGCGGGATGCGCGCATAGAGGAAGTGGACCGATCCTGTGACTCAGATGAGGACTACGAAGCTACAGGAACCAGGCGGTTGCTCTCCTCCCACTGCACCCTGGTGATCCACCCCCCGGAGCACAGCCCCACCTACCTCCTCATTGGCACCAAGCCTGAAAAGGTAAGGGAGGGGTTGGGCCTAAGATTCTGATCTTCCCCAAACTCTGATGTATTGCCCTCTGGCAATTAATATTCTCTGAGTGGAAATTTTCCTTTCTATTGAATTTGTTCCCAGTGACCATCCCTTCACGGGCCATGAGCTAGAACTGCAGACTTGGCGTCCCGGGTTCACAGTCACCTAGTCTCAAGTCCTTCCCTTTAGAGACTGGTGGTCTTGACTCATGCTACCAAAGCAGCTGAACCTCATCATGGGAACCCTCCTTGGAGCTCTTGCCTCCATCCTCCCCACAGTCTGCATCTAGTAGCTTTCTACCCTCTTCCAGGATACGTGGCTTTACCACCTTACGGTGGCTGCAGGTGGCAGTAGTGGCAAGGTGGGCACTGCCTATGAGCAGCTCATTGGAAAACTGATGGATGGTGAGGGAGACCCAGGTAAGGCAAGGGTGCTCATCCCCGAGTGGGTTAACAGGAGGGTGGTGGCTGGGTGCTGACTGATTGGCCAAAACCCCCCAAAATGCACTACTGTACCCGGATGCTGTTAAACACATCTGAACCAAAGAGGAATTTCCACCGCACACTCCAGGGCCCCTCGGTGTCTGGGCAACAGACTGAGGTGACCATTCAATCTGGGGATTTTGTTTGGGAAGCAGACTTGTCAGTGACCTGGGTAAATGTTTTGCTCTGTTCAACCTGCAGCTTTGCTGGCTGGGCAGAGGGTTGAGGAAAGTAGGTAGCTGGTTAATCTGTAGTTAGAATTTGTTAATCAATAAGTGAAGCCTAGGCGTGGATCAGGGTAACCTAAACCGGGCTGTTTTGGGGGTCTACATTTTGCCAATGGTTCTCAGGTTCTTCACAACTAAATTAGTGGCCCATACCATGCACACCCTTTCGTTCCGCTCCAAGGCTTGTCTGTAGCTCTGAAATGTACACTCAGCCCGATCCGACCGTGGAAGAGGTTCTCCCACACGTGTATGACTCAGGCACACCCCACAGCCTTGCTCACTCACCCCTACTGCAGCTCCACAGAAGTGGGGGCTGCCTTCCTGTACAGCCATGCTTGTGAGTGTGCGGACTGCACGACTGTATACACTGCGGTCTGTGTATGATGAGCCCAGCACAACCCTCACCCTCAACCACTGGCTTCCAAAGTCAGTGTGGGCATGTGGGAGGTGAGTTCTCTGTGTGGTAACTGCTGCTGCTCTTTGGTGTTGTGCAGACTCACCCCTCTGGAGGCACCCCACTCTGTGTTATAGCAAAGACGGACTGTATACCTCCCTCACCACCCTGCCCTCTGAGGCCCTGCAGACGGAGGCCCTCAAGCTCTTCAAGGTAAAGTGGGAGTGAGCCCAGTTCCACCATCTGGTGGCGCCCACAGCACATGCCCAGGCTCTGCTTGGAGCAGCTTGAGCCCACCATGGTGACACATGGGTGGAGACCACCCATGGGGCTAGGGGTTACTCACAGAGGGATTGAGAGAGGAAATGCAAAGCAAGTCCCATAGGATCCCCATGGCTTCCTTTATGGCAAGAACTCAAACCTCCTATGGGCAGGGAGGAGCCTGGGACGTCAGGAAGTTTCAGGGAAACTGCTCCCTTGGGGCTGCCTGCCTCCTATAGTTAACAGCAAAGGCCAGGGTTCCATTGCTTTTGGGATGCAGAGATCTGACCTTATTTGAGAATGTTCTTTGTGCCATATGGATTTTCTATTTTTTAAAAATGTATTTGCTAATGTAAACAAGCTCATGTCTTGCTTATGTAATGGAAACATCCAAACAAAGGAGATTCTGTTTGAAAGTAGCCCGTTTTAAAAGTCTCAGAAACATGAGCCTGCCTTGAGGCTCCGCTTGGGGTCAGAGGCGTCACTGCACTGACAGGACGATACCAAGGGCAGTCCCTGCCTGTGCCCACTGTTGTTTCCTTCCCAGTCCTGCCAGCTCTTCATCAATGTGCCCGTGGAGGCCACCTCAGTAGATTACCACGTGTCCCTGGCACAGACGGTGCTGCAGGTCTGCCTCGTTCACCCTGAACTGCAGAGTGAGATCTACTGCCAGCTCATGAAGCAGACCAGCTGCCGCCCACCTCAGAAGTACTCCCTCATGCAGGTGGGCAGCCCCGCTGGGAGGCACAACTGAGCACCTGCCAATGGCTGCCTCAGTACGGCTGCCCGTTTGGACATAGTCACGCCACGACTGCCATTCTGGGGATGGCTCTGTCTGGTACTCACAGTCAGGCCGTGGTGTGGGGAAGGAGTACTCAAGGTTTTGCAGCCAAGGACTGCCAGGGCAGGGGTGCTGCAGACCCAGCACTCACCCTGTGTCCCCTGGCAGTGCTGGCAGCTCCTGGCTCTGTGTGCCCCACTTTTCCTGCCTCAGCATCACTTCCTCTGGTATGTTAAACAGCAGCTCCAGCGCCATGCGGATCCCAGGTAAGTGGCCACATTTCCTCTGCTGCCCCAGCACTAGTGGCTGTGGCGTGATTTAAAAAGGGGAAACAAGGGGGAGACTAGATGGAGCAGATTGCTCTTCCCCTCTGAAATTCGCTTAGGGTTGCTAGACTCCACCCATTACTGTGAAAAGAAATGGGCACCTGGAGATCTGGGCATGCCTAGGCTTCTCTGCACACTGATCTGAGTGTCCCTGGGAGCTTATGGAGCCACAGTGCTTCATATTATCCCTCGATGTGCCCTTTGTTGCCACATTCTTCTGGCTTCTGCAAGAAAACACCTTGCTGGTACCTTGCCACAGATAGTCCCTGACTGACAACACCCCTTCTGGGCTTTCAGGGCCTTCTGGGCTCACAGTCTGCCTCAGCTACACTTTTGGTCCTCGCTAAGTCTGGGGAGGCATCCCAGATGCCAAAGAGTTAGCGATGGGCAGAGTTCTAGTTCCTCTCCTCCTTTCCCTGCCTTTTTAGAAATGAAACTGGCCAGTATGCCACCTACTGCCAGCGAGCAGTGGAGCGGACCCTGCAGACAGGAGAGCGGGAGGCCAGGCCGTCACACCTGGAAGTGGTGTCTATCTTGCTGCGAAACCCCTTCCACCACTCCTTGCCCTTCAGCATCCCTGTGCACTTTGCCAACGGGACTTACCAGGTGAGGGGGCTGCGCAATCTTCGTACATCTCTTTCTAGAGTAGAACGCTGTTGGGCCAGCTGGGTGCTAAGCCTCCTCAATAGCAAACCAACAAAAAGGGCGGGCCTAGGATTTGGTATGGAATGGGGTGGTTAGAGCCAGTGTATAAGGACAAGAGTCTGAATCACCAAAGTGCTTGGAAATAGATCTTTTGAACTCAATGATTGGACAGGGAAGCTGAGACATGAGCCAGAGCCCCCCAAAGAGTGACAAGGGAGGGACCAAGCCACTTTCCAGCTCCTTATACCTCCTGACTCCCTCTGCATAGGAATATGGAGCTTACCTTGGCTTCTTGGGTCCCCTTGCTCCTTTCTACCTGCTGTACACCAACCCCTCCACAAGCTCTAGAACCCCCAGGAAATTCACTGAGTGAGAATGCCTCTCTCTTCCAGGTGGTTGGTTTTGATGGCTCCTCCACAGTCGGTGAGTTCCTTCAGCGGCTGAACCAGGAGACGGGCATGAGGAAGTCATCCCAGTCTGGCTTTGCCCTCTTGACAGACGACCCTTCCGGCAGGGACCTGGAGCACTGCCTGCAGGGGAGTGTCAAGGTGATAGCTTCCCCACTGCTCAAGGATACTGGTGGTGGGGACAGAGCTCATCCTGTGAGATCCTGACAGTTCAGCAGTCCCTTTGGTGCTGAGCCCAAGTGTTAGACAACGAGCATGTCTGTGCCATCCTCAAAAACAGCTATATAGGCACAGAAAAGTTGCATATTCACAAAATCCCCACAGCCTGCCTCCCTTGAGTGGTCCCATAACATCCAGGGGAGGAGCCTCTTCTCAGCTTGGTGTAGGGTCAGGGAGGCCCCACCAACCTATTGCCAGTTAAATCTGCCCACCCACAGGTGGATAATTCTGTGCCTAGACCCACTAGGTGTCCTGTGGTGCACCAGCACCCCACTTTTACTGTCTGCCAGAGCCTCTGCTGTGCTTATAGGTCCAATCCCATTTTAAGGAGTAGGTCCTCACGGTACATCTGTAGGCGAAGCCCCTTGAATGGGACTGACGACTGCCCTGTGCTGTGTTGGAATCAGCGCCCTGGTGTTAAGCGTTTGTGGGAACATGCTGTAGCACTTGGTCAGTATTATTTGGCTCCAGCCTCTCCTTTCTTTACAGCAACAGAATAAAGACATCTAGCTTTCACCATTGCGTGAAAAACTGTCACACATCTTCCCCATAAACGTTCAGGCACCTGTAAGTGCTTGTTACATGGTAGACCTGTGGGTGTATTTGAAGAGGAGAATGAGGTTGGTGGAATAGAAATGGAGCCAGTTAGGTAGCTATGGGTTTTGACTGGAGCCTGCCTGGCTCCAGGGCGGTCCCTTGGCTGTTAGGGCCAGTGGGAAAGCTTCCCTTGCTTTGCTGCTCACGGTGTCCCAGCTGCCCTCCACTTCCTTGTTTGTGGGTGAGTCACAGGCACTGAAGGTGCTGGGAGCATGAGGCCCACAGGGCAGCTCCGGTCGGGAGGAGCTCTGCCTCAGTCCAGTCTTGGCTGGACGTTGTTCTGTTCACAAAGGGCTTTTGTGATGTTCACGGAGGAACCTCCTGCAGCTCTGCCTCAGTCCAGTCTTGGCTGGACGTTGTTCTGTTCACAAAGGGCTTTTGTGATGTTCCTGTTTTGCCTTTTCAAGATCTGTGATGCCATCTCCAAGTGGGAACAAGCTCTGAAGGAGCTGCACCCTGGAAAGTCTGAGGGGGGAACACGCATCGTGAAGCTGATGTACAAAAACAGGTCCTGAGTGCTGCCTGGGGGTGGGTGGACTTGAGGGCTGCCACTAGGTGCCAGCTTACCACCGCCCCCCAACTGGGTGGCCTTTCCGGGACAGGCAGAAAGACCCACAGATACACCCCTGCCTGATGGCCATTAGCTGGGGCCCAGCCTGGCAGCCTTCCACACACTGCGTGTGCACACACACACACACACACACACTCTCCAGCAAAACACATCAACCTTATGGGATGGCTGCATGTGTTACATGATGGGAATGCAGCTTTTTTAAAAAATTTAAATTGAATTTATTGGTACATTCTAGGTAGACAGTACAGTTACATTCATTACACGGATCCTGTACCTTTACATGACAGGTCCTGGTTCTCATTTTTTCCCCTTGTCCCCACCCTCCCTTCACTATGGGAATGCAGCTTTATGAGTACCAGACATTTAAGCCTGAAGAACAAATAGCTCCTCTACCAATTCCAGAAAATACTTAAGTAGACATCCCGGCTTTCTATCAGTTGAAGAAAATTCCATCCCAGTGTGTCTCCAGGAAAATCCTTTCCACTGGTATCTCGGAATCTTAACTCATAGTAGACAGTAGTTACATTCATTACTGGGATCCTGTACCTTTACATGACAGGTCCTGGTTCTCATTTTTTCCCCTTGTCCCCACCCTCCCTTCACTATGGGAATGCAGCTTTATGAGTACCAGACATTTAAGCCTGAAGAACAAATAGCTCCTCTACCAATTCCAGAAAATACTTAAGTAGACATCCCGGCTTTCTATCAGTTGAAGAAAATTCCATCCCAGTGTGTCTCCAGGAAAATCCTTTCCACTGGTATCTCGGAATCTTAACTCATTTGATTCTATGTACTGCATTTCCCTGCCAAATCCAGTAAGTCTAATGATGTATTCAGAATTAACCTCACTGCTGTGATTATTCAGTCTATATGGCCTTGCACCTGCTCTGTGTCGTACTTGGTTACAACTCTCTGGGACAACAGAAAATAGTCTCATAAATGGTATGAAGAATAGTTTCTTTTTGGGAAATCAAGATAAACAGATCCAGAGAAAGCTTCCTCCTCACTGGGGTCCCTGCTAAGACCTGGCTTCTGTTCCCTGTAGGCTGCACTTTCGGAGTCAAGTCAAAGGGGAGACAGAGCGAGAGCGGCTGCTGCTCGCCTACCAGACCAATGGAGAGATAGTGGCAGGGAGGTTTCCAGTCAGCAAGGAACTGGCTCTTGAGATGGCTGGTCTCATGGCCCAGGTAAGGAAGCAGGAGGGTCAGGATGCCACCTTGGGGCTGCTGGGCACAATCGCTGTGCAACCTGAAAACAAGATTCTGCAAATCTGAGGCCCCTGAGAGGTCTCTAGTACAGGAAGCAGCATATCACACTTCTCACTGCAGATCCAGGCTATCTGCAGAGGGTGTACTGGGAATCCAAGAGATGGGTTTCAGTCCTAGCTGCTTTGCAGTGAGCTCCTGGCCAAGTCACTTCGCCTGTAGATGCCATCTGTACACTTAAAACACTTCCCTAGCTGCTGCCACAGGGTCGTACTTGGTGTGATACTTGGCTAATGGACATCCCATGATGTCTGTGCTAAGATGTATACGCCACCCAGAACTATCAGAAGAATTAAAAGGACACACATTCAGATTTTAAACTCTTCCTTAGCTTTAGGAGGCCATCAGACCAGAGGTATCTGGAATACCTCCAGGGTTACCATAAGAAACAGCCTGGAGCTACATGCTGAAGCAGAAGGGGAAATAACTGTTGATCTTTCTAATTATGAACTTCATATGAACTCTGCAGCAGACCCTGTGCTAAGCATGTGAGATGTATGTTCACAGAGTTCTCACTCTTAGATGAGGAAATGGAAGCTCACAGTGCGGTAAACGGTGGGGCTAGGGTTTGAGGTGTCTGACTTCAAGCACTGCTGTCCTCTAGGATCTGGTCTTTAGCATCTTTAGTCTGTAACCCGTATTTTGGATTAGAAACTACAATTCGAAAGTTTTTCTTTATCTGCCACTAATTAACTGTCTTTGGGTAAGACACTTAGCTACAAAATGAGAGTTGGTCTAGAGAATCTTCTAGGATCCAAAGGCTGTTTCTCTAGTATCTGTGAAACATAAACTAAAGGGTCTGTTCACAAGGGTTTTCACATTGCCCACTGACACCCCACCAGTAAAATGGCTTAGTTCCACACCAGGCCCCATCCACCTCCATGTGCTTCTACTGCAGATAGAATATGGGGACATGGAGAAGCCGATCCTGCCGGGTCCTGGGGGCACACCCCCTGCCAAGGCTCAGCATCTCCTCCAGCAGGTCCTAGACAGGTTCTACCCAAGGCACTACAGACATGGTGCTCCTCCCGAACAGCTGAGGTAGGTAGGCTACAAGGTCTTGTGGGGAGACCTCAGAGCCATAATGAAAACATAATGACTGGCATCATTTCTTTCCACCCAACGAAACCAGGCACCTGGCAAATATGCTGGCCACAAAGTGGACATCACTGCAAGGCCGTTCCCTGGCTGAGTACACCCGGACCTACCTGACCGTGGCCCGGAAATGGCCTTTGTTTGGTGCTAAGCTCTTTGCTGCTCAGGTAAGAACCAGTGGAAGTAGCACCCAACACCCTCAGGAGTACCTTAGATTAAGTTCTTGGAGCTGCCTTCCCCATCCGGTCACCTTTGAGCCAGTCCTGCAGCTCCCAACTCTACCCTAATAACCACTAAGGGTTGCTTGCCGTCGCTCCACCCATTTCTGGCTGACTCCAAATTCCCATGTTCCCAAAGAGGTGTGATTCATTGCTTATCTTCACGTTTCTTTATTCTCAGTGCTACTTCTGAAAGAAAAGATAGGATCAACCAATTCATACACAGATCTAAAAATAACACCCAAAGCTATATCTGTTTTTGTAGTCTGAAAGAAAAATGTACAACCTAAACAAATACATCTCTACTGGTTTAGCTTGGCACATGTGTTGATGAGTCCTACTCAGACTACAGTTCATTTCACCTCTGCATGACGGCCAGGAGGCCAACAGTAATTTCAGTTGGAGCTTTCCTCACCAGGTGTCGGGTATACGTGAACTTTATAGGTAACCACAGACATTATGCTGTGATCAAGCATTGTAATCACAGACAGCAAGCTGAATATTAGAGCATTTACAGAAGCTACAGGTCGGAAAATGGACATTCATTCATCCATCCAGTAAATATAAATGTTCTCAACTATGTCTAGGGGTAATTGTTTTAGGTTTTAAAAAGTGGACAAATCAGACAGTCATAGTCTTCATCAAGCTTCCCATCTGGCAGGAGTTATGAAATAATCATACACACACACACACACACACTCAGTTTTTCTCTCCATGCACCCACCTATTATTATTATTTTTTTAAACAAATGGTCACAAGTACTATGAAGGGAAAGTACAGAGGTGTTAAACACTCAGTTTTTCTCTCCATGCACCCACCTATTATTATTATTATTTTTTTAAACAAATGGTCACAAGTACTATGAAGGGAAAGTACAGAGGTGTTATAAAGGCATATAATGGAGGCCCACTTGGCCTGGGAGGTTGGAAAAAGCTTTAAAAAGGTGACAACCTCTCTGGCCTTTTGGGTAGAAGAGGAAGATCTTCTGCATTACCCTCCTGTAGCCCAGGCAGTGAAAAAATGCAGGAAAGGTCCACCAAATAGTCACAAACTCATTGGTTGAGCCCAAAGCCCATTAGGTTGCATTTTTGCTTTTATTTTACTTATAGCCCCTAGAAAGCTGATTGAAGCAAGATGCACTTTAGCTGGGAAGGACTGGGTGGACTACTGTTTCCGAGAGCCAGAAGCAAACAGCCAGTTCCCCATGCAGATAGCAAAGTCCTGTGGGGATGGCCTCTGTTCTGTAGCCCTTGGCTTCCATACAACAGGATATGATCTCAGCCATCTTTGGGATGGTCAGTAGATGGCCAGATGCCTCCTACCAGAGCAGCCTTGCCCATTCATTCTGTATGCTGTCCAAATGCCATTTTCAGTGTCTTCCAAGTTGACAGTTGAAAATCAGTGCTTAGCAGATCCCATGATATACCTTCATCCTCACAAAGTACATGCAGTTCAGAATCTGTGGATTTGTCTGATGGGACTTGTTTCTGTAGCCTGCCCAGCTGTCATCCAAGGAGAACAATTTGGTGTGGATTGCTGTGAATGAAGATGGTGTCAGCATCCTGGACCACCACACTCTGGTATGGGAGCGGGAGGACTGCTTCTGACCCTCGTACTTCTGAGTTCTGTCTCGTCTTCTCCCTGGACTCAAAGGCCTCAGCTAGGTGGCCATGGTTCCCCAGCTTCCACCTCCAACCCAAGCAGTGCTGTTTTCCAGTCTAAATGCAGCCTACACATACTTGAGATATAGATCTCCAAATCACGACCACTTTGGGGTTCTCCTTTCTGGATTAAAGCTACTAATGCCTAGAAGAGATAGGGCAATTTCCCTAGTACTCACTGGCTCCTTTCCACAGCAAGTGCACGTCACTTACCCCTACTCTTCAGTGACAACCTTTGGTGGCTGCAGGGATGACTTCATGCTTGTGATTAGATCCACTCCAGACCAGAGCTCTGGAAAAGGCCACACTGACAAGTTGATCTTCAGAATGGCTGTTCCCAAGGTGGGTCTGACCGCTGCTGTTTTACTCTGGTGTGATATGAGCATGGGGCTTAGAGGGAAATGGGTTACAATAGGGCTCTAGAGTAGCCCTGCCCCCATATAATTTTTGGCCTTAGGTGTAATCAGTCAAAAGGATTCAGGGAGCGATGCATCTCAATGTCACTGTTGAGCTGGTAGGGAAAAGGGCTAGTGGGAGGGAGTTAACTCTGGTCCTGCCACTACTATGTTCTTTTGCAATTCTCCGGAGCCTTGGTACCACGCAGGCCTGAGTCGGTGCCCACCTGCTAGTCTTCCTTGCTGCAGGCCCCGGTTAGGGCAGTGTCCCCTTTAAGGTGCTCTCATCTTATGCCCAGGTTCTGTTGCCTCAACACTAGTCAGCCTCCATGGTGCTCCTCAGTCCTGTGGTGAAGATAGCAAAAAATCTCTTCCTTTAAGGAGTTGTTCCTACTAAACAGAAGAAACACTGACCAGCAAAAATAATTATAAGGCTCAGAAACATAAGTTATGACTTACTTTTCTTGGACTCCCTCTGCAAGGAATCCATGTTGTTCTCCACTTTTAATCCTGAAGCTGGGATTTGCCACCCTTTTTAATACTACCTTGCCAAAGGAGAGGATACAGGGCCCCTCTCCAAGGCACTCTTGCCAGGTTGCAGGGATGATGAGCGGAACATTAGCCCTCCATTTCTTGGGAGGGCCCTGTTCATCTTCAAGGACCTCCAGACCTACAGGGGCTCATTTCACTGGGCCCCCCCGAACCTCAGCAGTGATCCCCTTTGAACATTTTCTGCCGGGTGGGTAGTTTGAGAAAGAAAGAACCAAAGCCTAGGAAGATTATCTGCCCAGAATAACAGTAGAAAGCCAACAAGTCAAGGCTAGTTCGATTCCTTCATTCTCTGACCTTAGATTGCAGAAGCTACCTTCATCATGGCCAGCTACATGAACCACTGCTCTGCAACTGTGGACTCACCGACCAGCCGGCCTGCAGCACGCCTGCCAAGAGAGCTGGATGGACGACAGCGTTTTGCTTCTGTTTGCTGTGCTACTAAGGAGCCAACATTGCTGTGAATATTTTTGTTACCCATTTCCCCACCAGCACTGGTGCCTCTGGGATTAGATTTATATCCTGGGGTTTAATACTACTGTGATGGGTCTAACAGCCCTCTCCACCCCCACCCAGCTGTTTTCTGACATGTGCAAAACCTCTCTGCGTGTCATGTAATGTACAAGGGCCTAGCCTTTACACGTTCAAACCCAGTGTAAGAACCACTTTGCCTTTTTTTTTTTTTTTTTAAACAAAAATACTGATTCTGGATGCTACCTGATTCTAGACACAGACAGGCAAGGTCCATTGATACTGAGGGCAGCAGTGCTGTACTTGGGGTTTCTGCACTGATACTCTCAGGGGAACTAATATTTTTATATTGTATATGGTCCTAACGTTGGAATTTATACTTGAAGCTTCCTGTACATTTCTGTACAGAACAGGACAACTCTGATAAAAGTGTAGAACTCACTAGAACTGGACTTCTTTTCCCAAGTGGGAAACGTGTGAGCAGGGCTAGAGAAAAAGAGAATAACTTTTCCCCTTTGCTGGTGAGGAGGCACCTGCAGTGCCCCTTGAAGGGCAGCAGCCTCAATCCCTACAGGAAAACGCACTATGCCTGCTCAGATTCAAGCTCTCTCCCTCACACTGGACTGGAAGCTGACCCCAGAAGCACTTGCTATCCAAGCAAGGGCAGAGATAGGACCAGTCTAACCTCTCCCTGTAATGCCCAGACAGGGCTTGGTGAAGGCTACATTCCACTGCTGAAGAAGAAGGTGGCCACTGTCTCCTGGCTCTCTCAAAGCCTAAACAAATGCCCTCCGCTGCTTGGTGAGGCCACAGAAGATGATTCAGGAACACAGAAGATGACCTCATTCCACCTCATTCAAGGGCTGGGCATGCTTGAGGCTTCTGGCAAGCTTCCACTGGGAAATCATTGGATGTCAGGGCATGTAGGTGATATCTGCCCCAGCCTGAGTACCATGTGAAAGGAGAAAGTTTCTTTCACCTTTTGCCTGCTGAGAACATTATCATGCTCCTCAGCTCAGGTCTGAGTGTGGGGGACATGCTACTTACCTCCCCCAAAGCACCCCAAAACGAAAGAGTTCATACTCTGATTTTACAACATCTAAGAAACTGAATTTTATTTCATAGCTCTAGGGAAGCCTTGCCATTTATCAGTAAAGTGCTGAAAACTGTGGGTTTAGCAGGAACACCCAAAAACCATGACTTTAACCTCAACAATGTATGTTGCACACCACAAAAACTACAAGGTTGGAACCAGCTTATCTGAAAACCTCAGCTGCTGCAAGGATTCCCTCTCTCACCTTTTAAACTGAGAATGATTAAAAAAGAGGCAGAAGTCTCTGCCTCTTATAATAAACTTGACTTTGCAAGGCAGGGAGCTTTACAGCTATTTCTCTTCCTGCCTTCCCTCCAGGGTTTGAGAGTCTAGCTGAGACATTTCTACCTCAAACAAGGCACACATCAGAAGTACCACAGGCTCGTAGATAACCCCTCCAAGGCCTGTATAAAAGGCAGAGATTACAGCTCTGGTTTGGTATCCCAAGCATCTCTTAGGCCAGTAAGGATATTATCTACCTAGGAAGTTTTTAGAAAAAGGGTCCCAAAGAAAGAGTAAGAATGGAGCTATGTTCATACTGAATTTGTGGATCAAACTCTTTCCCTTACTATCTCTCCTTCCTGACCCTTCAGGACCTTCTCTTAGTTTATTAATTTTTTTCTGGCTCATGTTTTGTCTCATCCCTTTTGGCAAAGGTATCACTAAAGAAGAGAAAATGCTAAGTTAACAGAAAAATATCAGTGTGCTCGACACCCATGTCTGAAATGCCATGACCATGTTTGTCAATAAAAAGCAGCTGTCTGAACCAAACAATTACTGTGAATATTTTAGGATGAGTTCTGTTTACTGACAGGGTCATGATAGATTAATCCTGTAGAGAACACAGGAGCTAAGTAGACTTCTGTAGGACATTTATTCCTTCTAACCTGTACTTGAAGAGCCTGACTTTTTCCCCTTAACCTTTTTTTTTTTTTGGTCTTTTGAGACAGGGTCTCACTATGCAGTTGAGACTGACCTGGAACTCACTATGTAGCCCAGGCTGGTCTCGAACTCACAGCAATCCTCCTGCCTCAGCCTCCCGAGTGCTGGGATTACAGGTGTGCGCCACCACGCCCGGCTCCCCTTAACCTTTATACAGGGATACTATGCAGGTGGAAGTGATATCTTTCTCTTTAGATCTGATACTGGTTTCCCAATGTCTTACTCCACAAATTTCAACAAAAAGTAAATTTAAATGTGCTTAGGAATTGTACAAAGTGTTACTTTTGATACATCGTGTCAAAATTCTTAAGGCTGGGCCGGGGATCTAGCTCAGTGGTGCCACACCTGCCACAAAATCGCAAGGCCCTGAGTTCGATCCCTGGTACCAAAAAAGAAAAAGAAAAAAAAATTCTTAATGTGGCCCCTTGTTTAGTAAAGTAGGCAAAGCCTTACAAGACTAACATTATAACACCAAAATATTTTGAGTCAAATTTCCAGTCACCTGTTCTACAGTGATCTGAGATCTGCTGCATCCGTTCTGGTTCCTAGGACTATGTCCACCTGGTGGTTTGCAGTGGAGACAAACCAGCCACTACAGCTTAGGAGCCGTCTCCCTGGAAGATGGTACTGGCCTTCTGAATGCTGGGAACTCATGGGTCTGTTGATGTGGCTTTCTTGTGCGCCAGAACTTCCTGGCAGCTCTTGTACACTTCAATCAAGCAGTCCAGCCGGGGCTTGGCACTCTGAATTCCAAAGGGGAGAAATGCAAAGTCAAGGTGAATCAGACAGCTTAGTGGTGCTGCATCCATGTGCAGCCTGTCTCACCTACATCAGGGTCTAAATGGGCTAAGTGTGAGCTCAGAGAGGCGGAAGTTCAAGCCTCAGAGCACCGTACTGGGAGACTCCCACCTACGTCCACAGCCCAGCCTATGAACTGTGCAAAGTGGGAGACCAAAAGATAGCTTTTTAATCCATCTAAATTTTATGACAGTAAAAGGAGTAACAAGGACCCTGTTAAGAGGTGTCACAAGTTATGAAACAGGCCTCAGAGACAAGACAGTACAGATTAATATATACATTCTGAAAAATATTCTATGAAAAGTAATGCAACTGAATTAAAAGCAACAGTATGGGAAAATTATATGCAAAAAGTATATTTAATAAAAGTTTGGGGCCAAGGATTTAGCTAAGTGGTTCTGGCACCGGCCTCACAAGCACAAGGACCTGAGTTCAATCCCCAGTACCCAAAAAAAGTTTGCTAGTCAAAATATACAAATAATTGTTACAAATGCATAATCAATATCTAAATTCCACTTGACTGCTGGGCGTGGTGGCACATGCCTGTAATCTCAGCACTTGGGAGGCTGAGACAGGAGGATCACTGTGAGTTCGAGACCAGCCTAGACTACATGGTGAGTTCCAGGTCAGTTTCAAATACATAGTGAGACCCTGTCTCAACCAAAAAAAAAAAAAAATATATATATAAACTCCACTTGACTAATAGAGGAGATTGTTTAGAATACCAGGTCAGTAAAATACATAGTGAGACCCTGTCTCAACCAAAAAAAAAAAAAAAATATATATATATACTCCACTTGACTAATAGAGGAGATTGTTTAGAATAAGAGGAAATGAGAGGTTGAGAGGTGATACCTAGAAGGAAATATGAAAAAACTAACATTTACAGAGACACAAATTTAATAATTATAAAATGCTTTTATCTACATGTTAATACAGAAAAATAATTACAAATTCCAGTTTTTCAGTCTCAAACACTTAAAAATGTATAAAACTGTAGGCTTTAATAAAATAACTCTGAACTGTAATGCATGAGAATTATTTTTAGTGCAGCTATCTTAAAACTTAAGAAAAAGGAAAGGCAGTCTGGTAGGGTTAACTACATATAAATACATTAATTACCTATGAAATAATTTATTATAACAGATTCATATGATTTTTGTAACATGGACATGATTTAAAAAACTAGCAATGTATAGTGGCTTTGTAAAAAGATGCATATTAGATGATTTAAAAATTCAAACACAGCCGAGTATGGTGATGCACATCTATTATCCCAGGCCTCTAGGAGGCTGAGGCAGGTGGATCACAAGTTCAAGCCCAGCCTGGGTTAACTTTGCAAGTCAGTAAGATTTTATCAAAAACAAACAAATGAAAAAGGGCTGGGAATGTAGCTCAGTGCTAAGGCCCCATGGTCAATCCAGTACCAAAACAACAAAAAAGCACAACACAAAGTAATGTATAATAGCATATGTACCATATTAACTTCTAAAAAAGCTATACATTGGTAGACTGAGAAAGTCAAAGTAGAGCATGAATTCCTAATTGTACTGATTGGTTGTGGTTCTGCGACTGAGTCCAGGGCCTATGCACTGAACTACATCCTTGGCCCTTAATTTTTTTAATTTTGAGGCAAGGTCGATCTCAAAGTTGCTACGGTGTCCAAGTTGGACTTGAACTTTTATTTTCCTGCCTCAGCCTCCCAGAAAGCAGTGATTACAGGTGTGTACCATCACATCCAGATGAATTCCTAAAATTTTCAAAAGCTACCTTTTCCTCGGAGTTAGGGTGAAATAACTAAAATCCTAATTCATACTGAAATTAGCTGTCAGCTATCTTCAGATGTTCTGACATCTATGTTCCTACTGAACAGAAGTGGCACTAGACATGCAGAAAGAGGAAAAGATAGGATTTCAATGAGAAAGGAAAATTTTTCTGTGCTCACCTGGAAGACAGGTACTACTTGAGATATCTTGTGTGGTTCCAGTGGATCCTTCAGTAAAATGCAGAGGTAGTAAATCACCTTCTGCTGTAAGAAAAATAAACAAATAGATCTCAGCGAAATTTTTTAATTTTTTGCAGTAGTGGGGATTGAACCCAGGGCCTTTACACTGAGCTTCATCTCCATCCTTTTTACGTTTTTAAGACAGGGTCTTGCTAAGTCACTAAATTGCCCAGACTGGCCTCCAATTTGCAACCCTCTGCCTCCCCAGAGTGCTAAGATTACAGGCATGCACCATCACACCCAGTCTCATTTTGTATTCCATTTTCTTTAATGAAACACTTAAAAACCTTTTCATAAGTGGTTGTCTGTAAGTAGTAAAATATTTGATAGCTCTTGAGGTGGGGGAGAAGCATAATAATTCTATAAAGAACAAAAAATTTAAAGCCCCCATTCCACATTGGGAAAACCAGAGAAATCTGGCCCTGCCAGAGATGTTGAATCTCACTGCCTCCTTCAGTGTCTCTCCAGCCCTTGCTCCCCACCTCTGAACCCTTCATAAAATCACCTGACCACTGCCCAAAAGGCCATGTATGTCAGCATGTACCTGTAATCCCTGCTATTCAGGAGGCTGAGGCAGGAGAATTGCTCAACCCTGGCCAACCTGACCAACAGAGACCCCACTGCCTAGAAAAGAAGCTGGGAAGGAAAAAATAGATGATTTTGATGCTAGGCTAGAAGAAAAAGTTGAGATACTAACCTCCTATCCATGAAAATCTACTGTGTCTGTTTAAAAATAATCATACTGTGGGCCAGGGGATTTAGCTCAGTGGTTCTGCTGCCTGCCTTGCAAGCGCAAGGTCCCGAGTTCGATCCCTGGTACCAAAAAAAAAAAAAGTACTGTACAACATGCTTGTCAGTAACATACAACAGTGGTCCTGTATTATAAAAGAACAGCAAAATCCTTACTGCCTAATGACATCATAATGTCTCAGTGCAATGTGTTTATTACAAGTTTGTGTAGACAAACCACTGTCCTGCCAGTCATCTAATTATGTATAGAACACAGGCTTACTGACAATAAACAATAATTATTGGTTTGTCATGTACTATACTACTTTTGATTGTTAATTTAGAATATAGAGCAGCAGGGGCCAGGAATTTAGCTCACTGGTTCTGCCACTTGCCTCTCAAGCGCAGGGTCCCGAGTTCAGTCCCTGGTATGGAAATGATTTGCTGGGGATTTAGCTCGGTGGTGCTGTCACCTGCCTTGCAAGTACAAAGTCCCAAGTTCAATCCCTAGTACCAAAAAAAAAAAAAAGAAAGAAAAAACTAGGACTTCACTAAACATTATTTGGGCTACATGATGATACTATAAAAACACCAAATTATAGAATATAGAGCAGCAGCTTTCCTGCGCAACTTGTCCTGAGTTACTCCATTTTGGATACAAATGCTAAGGTGGAGTGACCTTGCATCTTGCTATACAAGTAAACCACCACCATCTGCACAATGTAACCATAAGGCACAGATTCAGGCTAATAAAAAATTTCTAGCTGGGTGTGGTGGCGCATGCATGTAATCTCAGCACTTGGGAGGCTATGGCAGGAGAATTTCAAATTGGAGGACAGCCTGGGCCGCACAGCAAGTTCAAAGCCAGCCTGGTCTACATACTAGTAAGACCTTATGTCAAAGCTTTAAAAAAAAATATTGAGTGTAACACATGCCTATAATCCCAGCACTTTGGGAAGAGGAGGCAGAAGGAGTGAAAGTTTAAGCACAGCCTGAGCAGCTTAGTAGCTTGGTGAGACCCTATCTCGTAAGAATAAGAATTCTAGGCTAGGAATGTAGTTCAGTGTGACGGCTCTGGGTTCAATCCCCAGTACCAAAAAGTAAAAAAAACCTATCTGTGAGCTTATTAAATCAGAGACACACAGACACAGGGCTTCTTGATCACATCAGACACCAGGCTGGCAAGCTTATTAAATATATCAGACCAATAAATGATGTAGTCACCTCAGTCTAAGAGGCCTACGCTACATAACACAGCACACCGGCCCATCACCTGGTGTACACATCATGGCCTCTCCCGGGGGAGTGCAGCCAAGTGGCCATCAAGTGGCCCTGGCTCAGGGTTCCCTGCCCTTTACACTGCTCACTTCAAAGCCATCCGGTCCTCGACAGCTTCACTACTGAGTTACTGACCAGTACGTCGCTACCCCTAGTGACTCTTCCATTTGTAGCAGCTTTGCCTCTGCTTTCTCCATGCCTTTTCAATCTGACAGCCGTTTTAAGCTTGTTTCTATAACCTAGACATTACCATTTTCTGTGTGATACGCGACTTAAGTGCTAAGATATTTAAGTGTTAGGTATTAATAATTAAGATTGGAATGGAATAAAAACACTTGGCAGTTGCCATGGTCACAGCTGTAGTACTGCGAAACCTGTGAAATCTGCAGTACTCAGTGAAGTAAAGCTGACAACACTGATGTAGCTTGTGAACTACTGATATCCAATAAAAGCTGACACTCTGGACCGACAAACATGTCAGTCTATGTTAATGGCATATGTGGCTCACAAAAGTACCTCTACTTAAAAAAATTCACTGTAAGACAGTATGCCAGGTTATGCTGGCAACAGCCTCACTCGTCTCCTATTGACCGTTTCTCCACTGCATTGCGAGGTGATGGCCGAGTGACCCGTCCACTTACACTGTGTACATATACTCTACAATGTCTGAGCAGAAAGGAAACTAACAATGCATTTCTCAGACCACGTCCGATCACTAAACGAAGCATGACTATAAAGGTGATTCTCTTTTCAATGTAGGTTTCACTTCTGTGGTTTATACATACTAAGGAAACACTAAAAGTCCTGGAATAGAAAGGCCTCAAGTTTAATTCTGCAACATCAAATACTTCAGGCAGTAAGACTCAAGTTTAAACTGGGAATGGGAGCACACACCTGTAATCCCAGCATTCTGGGAGGCTGAGACAAGAGGACTGAAAGTTCAAGCCCAGCCTGGAGAAACATAGTGAGACTCTATCTCAAAATAAAACAAGAAAAGGGCTGGAGATGTAGCTTAGTGCAGAAAGCCCTGGGTTCAGTCCCAGTACAGCGGGGGAAAGAAAAGATTCAGCTTAGCTCTAGGAACATTCTCTGAACAGACTTCCCCTCAGAAAGAACCGGGATACTCACCACTTAAAACACTTACCATGTAAATAGCCTCATTGATGACAATGTCTTTGATTTTGCCCATTTCTATGAAGGTGGTGTTTTCTTTGCCTGAGGCATAGGATGATGTCATCTGGATGCCAAGAGAATCAATGATCAACAGAGTCTCCTGATCAATCTTCACAAAATGGAGGTAACCAAGAAGGCCTAAGAGAGTGACGAAGATGGCAGCTGAGAGGATCATGCTGTTCTGAAGAGAAAGCCAGACACGGGGTAAGATTACTGAGTGGCCCTCTGCATATATCTGTGCTGTAAACGTCAACTACGCAATGGGGTAAAAGGCCCTTGCTCTGCCGTGAGTTGAACAACGAAATCAGGACTTGGTAGGGCCATCAAAGTGTACAATAAAATGAATCCCGACTACTATTGAATAGATCTGGGAAGAATGCTAGCGAAATACACACTATCACATCAATCTCAGAAATTCTTCTTTCAAAATTATAACTTAGGGGCCCAGATCTTTTCTTCTTATGCTCTCTCAGCAGAATGTATAGCACAAAATTACAGACTGAACAACTGTAAAGTGATCAGCACAGCAGCAGATACTACTCCTCACCTGATAAACAGCCACTTATCCTAAGAATCTGGAGGGAATCATGACCGGCACAGAAATAAGCATGTGACAGACACAACTCTAGCCAGCGAGATGGGGGCAAGGGGTCTACTAGAAAGGCGGAGAGTCTGTCTTACAGAGATGGAGGGGAGAAAGGTCTCCTCACTGTGAGGTTTACATGCCAGAACTGTACTGTAACTTCTGCCAGACAAAGTGGAGAGCTAGGTGGAGGATTAGCAGAGTACAGCCAGGGCGGAAGAGCAGGAAGACGAACAGTTTGAATTAAAGGAGCCTGTCACATAAACGCTGGAGCATTCCTACCTCATGACTCGTGTTAATTAAAAGGCCTTATCATTTGTCTGAGTTCTGAATTATTCTCAAGTGACTGTGACTAAGTACTGTGTTAAAGGCTCAGAAATATTGCAAGGTCCTGAGTTTGATTCCCGATACCAAAAAAAAATTTTTAAAAAGCAGCTGTTATGTATTCCTGTGGATCTAAGACATATTTACAACTTTTTGTGTGTGTGGGGGGGGTACCAGGATCAAACTCGGGACATTGTGCTTGCAAGGCAGGTGCGGTGCCACTGAGCTAAATCCTGACCCATTTACAACCTTTTGACATTTCAGAAGTTGAACTTTTTTGTTAGTGCGTTTTTTTTTGTTTTTCACATGGCATATTTTTTTTTTTTTTTTTTTCCTCCTCCAGAAGCTATAATTGAGAAAGCTGGCAAATGAAAAAGTAACTGATAACCTAGAATCAATGAAATTCAGTAATTTGAGACTGCATTCCTTGAAATGTTTATTCTTTGCACCAACTAGACACCCTTCTTGACTAACTATAGTCAGACTCCTCTAAGCCTTCTACACAGTGACCTACACATGTCTTTGTTAGACCTGCATAGCACAGTTGTAGTGAGGACCTTGCTGAATCAGTTTAAGAGAGAACCCTCATCCTTGGTATTAGATAACCCAGGCTTGCTATGTGAATCAGATGTTACTGTAACAAAATATCTGAGATAAACAACTTCAAAAGAGGAAAGGTTGGGACTGGAGGCATATCTTAGAGGTACAGCACTTGCCTGCCGGGCCGTGGTGGTGCACGCCTGTAATCCAGCGCTCAGGAGGCTGAGGCAGGAAGATCGCTGTGAGTTCGAGACCAGCCTGGGCTACATACTGAGTTCCAGGTCAGTCTCAACTACACAGTGAGACCCTGTCTTAAAAAAAAAAAAAAAAATGTACAGCACTTGCCTACCATCCATAAGGACCTAGATTCAATTCCCAACACAAGGGAGACTGGTGGGGAGGATTTTGGCTAAGTTTTGCAGGTTTCGGCCCACGGTCAGTTGGTCCTGTGGCAAAGCAGTGTAACATGGCATGAAGCAGGCTGCTCACCCCATGGCAGTCAGGAATCAAAAGAGGAAGAGGCTGGTGTCACACGGACACCATAATGGCTGTCAGAGTCCACCACAGGGATGGGAACATGTAGGATCCTGAGCCCTTAGCCTGTTACTCAGTAAAAGCTTAATTTCTGTTTTCTCCTAAGGCAGTTAGGGATTTAAAAATGGTTTTTGCTAAAAGCCATGACTCTTTCCTTGGGCCTACAATTATCTAATAGGCAACTAAAAGTAGAACAAAGCTCGACCTTCATTTTGTATCCTTTGTTACTGTGAATCTTCGGGTCAAATCCCTTCTCAGCCTGTTATGTAGATCATTTAAGGAGTGTCTAAAAATTGGCAAAACATACTTGACTGGCTCCCAGTTTACATGACTTCACTCCTTTTCAAGGCTGAGAACACCAAGATAAGAGGTGCACAACTACGCTCAGAAGTCTCCAAACACTGTCCTAAATCTGTCTGCATTCCAGGAAGAACAGGGCCCCACATGCCTGAAGCCACCACAGAGATACTCATTTCTTGGGAACAAAATGCTCTCGATCAGTGGGGATTCCAGAGCTAGGAAACCAGACCCCAGCCCACCAACTAACCCTTAAAAGCTGGCCACCTGCCTTTCTGAGTGGCCCAGTCTAATCCCCTCCATCCAAGTGTGCCCCCACCAGCTGCTCAAAATGAAGTCCTCTCCTGGTTTTCGTATGTTCCTTCGCTAAGAGTCGGTCTGATCTCTGTTAACTCAAGCTGAATTCCCTTACCATTTTTTCTTACTTTCTAATTATATCTTTTTCCTATAAATTTGTGCATTACTTTTAATTTCCTTTATTACTAAAAGGACCTAAAAGAAGGGAAAGGGAAAAATATGAGAAAAGGAAAAAATGGAAAGTATTTTTAAATAGAGGGGTGGAGGGGTTGAAGGGAGAGCAGGCGAATGGGGAAAAAATAAGAACCAAGGCTGGGCATGGTGGCGCACGCCTGTAATCCCAGCACTCAGGAGGCTGAGGCAGGAGGATCGCTGTGAGTTCGAGACCAGCCTGGACTACATAGTGAGTTCTAGGTCAGTCTCAACTACATGGTGAGACCCTGTTCTAAAAAAACAAAACAAAACAAAACAAAAAAAAAGAACCAAGATATATCATGTAAAGGTACAAGATCCCAATGATAAATGTAACTGCATTGTATAACTAAAAAAACAAAACAAAACAAAACAAAACAAAGAACCAAGATATATCATGTAAAGGTACAAGATCCCAATGATAAATGTAACTGCATTGTATACCTAAAATGTACCAATAATCTTAATGGGGAAAAAAAAAAGCAAGACTTCACAATAGCCAGTTACAAGCATGCCCTCAGTGACTCAATACCTCTCACTAGCTCCTCCTTTTAAAGATTCCACCACCTTCCCATAAGCACAACACTGAGGCCCAAGCCCTTATAACGTGCTTATCCCAGTGTGGGGTGTGTGCCTATAATCCCAACTCTGGAAGGCTGAAGCAGAAGTGTAAATTTGAGCCAGTCCTGGTCATCTTAGTGACTTAGTGAGATGCTGTCTCAAAATGAAAAATAAACAAAGGTCCAGGGATGTAGCTTAGTGTTAATTCCCTGGATTCAATCCCCAGTACCAAAAGAAATAGGGATGATTCCAGCTGTAAACTATAGCACCTGCCTTCTACAAGAATCTTGACAAGTAAATTCAGCCAGAATTCTGCCTTGCTCCTGATGCTCCCTTTTAGTAATTTCCCATCCAGTGATCTCCATCCCGTTCCATGGTTATAAATCCTCACTTGCCTGTTCTATATTTGGAACTGAGAACAGTTCTATACTGAAGTCTTTTTCCCTATTCAGGAATTCCTATTTTTGTTGTTGTTATTTTCTTGAAGGTACTCAGGACTGAGCCCAGGGCCTTCACACTGAGCTACATCCCCACCTTTTCATTATTTTTTGTTTTGAGGCAAAACAAAAGGTCTAAAGTCACTAAGTTACTTTGTTGCTGAGACAATACCTGACACCCAAAGCTAAAGGAAGAAAGGTTCATTTGGCTCACAGTTTGTAGAGGTTTCAATTCATAGTTGGCTGGCTCCAAGGCAGGGGGCATGGCAGACGGGCATCACAGAGGCAAAAGAGTTCATGCAGGTAAAAGGCAGCGAGCAGCAAGTAACAAGCAACAATAGCAGCCCTCTTTCAGTCCCTTATATTCCATCCAGGTTATCTGCCCCAGGGTGGACTTTCCCATTATTCACACCCAGAACTATGCCAAGCCAATCAGGGGGCTAATTTAGAAATCACATACCCTAATCTCAGCATCACACACTTAATCTTAGCATCACCCACTCTAGATCCACCCACCTCTGTAAAGCCCTATGGCTGCATGAGGCTTTTAGGGGACATCTAGACAAAAGCTGTAACAGTTACTAGCTTGCCCAAGTCGAATTTGAACTTGCAGTCCCTCTGCCTCAGTCTCCCAGAGTACAGGGATTACAGGTGTGTGCTGCTACCATGCCTGGTTCTAAATAAAATGTTTTTACCACTTTATCAAACTAGCTCTGGTTTGATAGAACCTAACACTTAGTTATTGTTAGATCAGGGATCTGCAAATTTTTGGTCTTTTATTATCTAGTCCACCTTAAGCAAAGAATGACTTTTAGTCTTTTATAGAGCTGTAAGAGGAAAGAAAAACAATGAGACTGAGAACCAAAAAAAAAAAACCTAAATATTTACTACTCATATTTGGCCTTTTAAAGAAAGTTTGCTGACCTCTGCGATAATTTTTTTTTCACACACACACGCAAAAGAAAAGAAAAAAAGAAAGGAGGATTTAATGTTTGGCCTCTGATGATCCAACATCTACTTTGAGTTAATTAACTGCTTTGTGTAGATAGTGTCTTATGGAAGACTATAGAGCAATAAACTTCAGTCCCAGCCCATACAGATTTATTAGTGGCAAGGTTAATACACAGAAAAAATTTTGGAGACTACTACAGTACTGACTATAAGTACCAAAGTGTGGGGGGGGTGGATAGAGACAGAGAGATAGAGGGATACTGACAGATGTTAAATAATTAGTTGAAAGAAAAAGGAGGAAACATTCTAAGGTGGAATAAATGAGGTAAAAACTTGTAGCTTTAATAGAGCTATGAATTCAAAACCAGGAACTAATGAAAGGATGAAGAGCTTAAGGGATGTGATTGAGGTTAGGCTTCCAATAAGATTTTCCTGCTCAAAATGTCCTAACTAACTTGCATCTTTTTCTACTTCTTTTTTGATTCTGGGATTAATTCATTATTCATTAGGTCAGAATTCAGCTACATATGTGAGTAAATCCCTTCAGTCAGATTTCTTCTCCAGATATATATTACCCTCATGGATACTGTAAGAGGAAAGATAAGAAATGTTTGTACAACACAGAGCACTAAGGAAATGCTGGATTAGACATTAAAGAAGGTAAGCCATTTGTTTTCAAGGCATCTGGGGATAACTGGGGTAATTATTAGGATAAAAGAGACAAGTATAAGAAGGAGGTTGGCATAAAAACACTTCTATTTAAAAATTTTGCTTAAGATCTGTTATAGTATGGTATAATGGAAAAAAGGATTTCAAAGACAGAGAGGCTTGAGTCTGAAGCCCAGATCTGTCACTTACTGGCAAGGTATCACTTTCTGAGCCTTAGTTTTCTAAGGGAGAAGTAAGGAATTCAGTATAGCACTTAGCACTCAATGGGTTCCTCCTCCCTGTATGCCTAGACCTTAGGCTAGGATCAAAGTTCAACTATATTATAAATTAAATTAGAAGGGTTTTTAAGTCAATTTAATTATTTCAACTACTTACGAAGAAACTTGTAGAAACAATTTGGTACAAATTAAGGCAGTCTTCAGGAGTGGTGGAGCACACCTGTAATACCAACACTGAGGCAGGAGGACCGCCTGGGCTACATACCAAAACCCTGTCTCAAAAAAATACCAAAGAGGGAAGAAGGCAATCTTTCTTCATTTACTTCTATGCTAAATTATTATGCTTTGAAATAGCTCTGAAAAATACAGTATATCAAAGAAGCCAATGGATGCAGTAATGGAAACAATACGCACAATACTGAAATAAATAGACCTGATTATTTAGCTGTGGTCAAATCACTCCTGGAATTTTTTTTTTTTTTTTTTTTTTTTGT